TAACACTGATGATTAATTCCCCATTAAAATATTTAAAAATAAAAGTTTAATTTTTAATTTTGACTGATAATATAGCTCCGAACTACCAACACTCTTATTTATGATGTACAGGAGTTTTGAGAACAACTGGAACACATACAAGCTGCTGGCTCACATCAACCCCCCTGATACTAAGGTTACAAAGATTATTCTTTATGAAAAATAAAATTCATGATTTAAATATAACAAATTTTTCTACAATAACTAACCCTTTACTGTCTTGCTCGTACTGACTAGAGCAACATCAATGTGGCAATCGTGAACGTCGGTGCTCCCTGCGCTGGTATGAACGCTGCCGTCCGTGCGGCAGTCAGGATGGGCATCATCCAGGGTCACTCCATGTTGGCTGTCCATGACGGCTTTTATGGTCTGGCCGAAGGACAGGTAAGTGTACATTTCCCTCTTTGCTCCAGACCTCCTTTTGTTACGAGTTTGTGAAAATACTGTTGCAAACACAAATTTGGAAAGGGGGGGGCACATTATTACTGTAATGTTATTATTAAAAGTAGTTGTAGCGGGCGTAATATAATTAGTATTACAAGTGAATGAATAACCCACAGGGAAAAACAAATTAAGCATAAAACATTTTTTTCTCGCTGCAGATTGAGCCTATCACCTGGAATTCAGTAAGTGGCTGGACAGGAAAAGGAGGCTCAATGTTGGGCACCAAGAGGTAAAACAGTCATAGTTATTGTTTCTTTCAGAGGTGCAGCTTTTGTCATAACACTGTAAAACGTTTCACTTTGTGTCTCATAGAACTCTGCCAGGAAAAATACTGGAGGAGATCAGCCTGAACATTGCCAAGTTCAACATTCACGCTTTGGTGATCATTGGTGGATTTGAGGTAAGACGTGACAGCCAATCTTCTCCTTTAAAACCAGAAGTCGTGTCAATATTTGCTGATCTTTCCCTCACCAAAAAACAGCACTGTAACAAATGATTCTCCACTCCTTCTTCCCCCTCGGCAGGCCTACGTGGGAGGCCTGGAGCTGGTCCAGGCCAGAGAGAAGTACGAGGAGATGTGCATTCCCATGGTGGTAATCCCTGCCACCGTCTCCAACAACGTCCCCGGCTCTGACTTCAGCATCGGCGCTGACACTGCCCTCAACACCATCACCTCTGTCAGTACCCCAACAGCACATATACGCTCATGTATACAAAAAAACAGCTAGAAACGTTCCGCCTATGTTTTTCTGCAGACCTGTGACAGAATCAAGCAGTCTGCAGCAGGGACCAAGCGCCGCGTGTTCATCGTTGAGACTATGGGTGGATACTGCGGCTACTTGGCCACCATGGCCGGGCTGGCTGCTGGGGCTGACGCCGCCTACATCTTTGAGGAGAAATTCAACATTAAAGACCTGGGGGTGAGCTGATGACAGGACCTATTTATAAGAGTTTCTGCACCTTAAACGTGTTCTGATTCTGATCTTTTGGCCTGCAGATGAACGTGAGGCATCTCGTGGAGAAGATGAAGACCACGGTGAAGAGAGGTTTGATTCTCAGGTAGGTTTTGGTCAGGTGTGACCCAGAAGTGCAGCAGATAGGAACTGAGGTATGGTGTTAAAATACCAGTTGTCTGGGTGAATCCTTAACTTCTCAGTAAACGATATCTGCATTCAAAAAGTAGTGAACAGTTGTCTGCAGTGTTGGCTGCCATTGTTTTACCTCACTGTTATAATCTTTTTTTATAAAAGGCCTTTTTGGAACAGGTGTTGCAAATCTGCTATAAATACTATGATACTTGCATCAGATAGTTGTTTTCAGTTTGTCTGTGTATGCTGTATCTGTCCCTATCAAACAAACCATAAATTAATAATTAAATAAATAATTTTTAAAAATAACACACACACACCTTTACTGTTTTATTTTATATATTTGATGAACCATATGAATTGAATTCACAACACACACACTTACTGTTTTATTTCATCATTATTATTATTATTATTTATTAAATATTTTTATTTTTTTTTAATACAAACACACTTTTACTGTTTTATTTATTTTTACTTAATGAACTGTATGAAATGAATGGTTCTTTTTCATTATATTTTAAGCTTTGGCAATATTGTTGTTTGACATTCATGCCAATAAAGCTGAATTTAATTTAATTAAATAAACAGCCTATTACTCATACTCTGCAAGCAGATAAATCAGCTATAACCCCATATCCTTCAAGATATTAGTACAATAATCAGAATAATCTGTCATTATTCATTCTGCAATAGGAATGAGAACTGTAACGCCAACTACACCACTGATTTTGTCTTCAACCTGTACTCCGAGGAGGGCAAAGGCATCTTCGACTGCCGTAAGAATGTTCTGGGTCACATGCAGCAGGTCTGTTCATGTTCAAGTCTCCAGTCTACTCCGGGAAAAAAAAACTGGAACAGATTTTGTCCTAGTTTTTTCTTTCATATTACAGTGTAATCAATGACACCTGTCTGTTGGCTACAGGGAGGCACTCCAACACCCTTCGACAGAAACTTTGGCACAAAGATGGGTGCCAAGTCTGTTATGTGGCTGACTGAGAAACTCAAGGAGTGCTACAGGCATGGTACGCCTAACATCAAATGTTTCTGTTTCATTATATAATACCAACAGGCAGTGGTGAAATGTCACAGAGTACATTTACTGTAAATACAGTACCTAAGTATAATTTCGATGTACGTCTACCTGCTTGAGCTTTTACGTTTTTTATTGTTACTTCATATTTACACTCCACTACATTTCAGAGGAAAGTATCTCTCTTTTACATCTGACTGCTTTAGTTACTAGTTACTTGGCAGTACACAAAACACAATAACCTTATGAAAATGATGCATCATTGTATTAAACTAGCAAACATTATATGAAGTACTTAAAATGTGCACCACCTTTACAGCAGTAAATGCTACTTACACATTAATGCATCAGTATTATAATCCAATTATATAATATAATCATATAACACTCACAGGGGACATTTATCTGAATCAAGAGTACTCCTACTTTTATTACTAGCTTATATAGCCTTTGTTTAAACTGGTAAGTCCCGTTGACAATGGGATCTCATTTTAAATGGAGACCTGAGTACATATAAAAACACAACATGCTGAAGAACAATATTCATTAGAATATAAAAACATGATGCAAAACAGGAAAGTCTCTCTCTTTTACATCACATCCACAGTCATCTGACCACTTTAGTTACTAGTTACTTTGCAGTACACAAAACATGTTAATATTTTTGTGCTTCTGTATATTTTTGAGCAATAGGTTTTTTCTTGTGATGGAGTATTTTTACAATACTGCTTTTACTTACTTACTTCTTCCACCACTGCCAACAAAAATCAAAAACACTGGTTGATATTAATGAGCATTAAATGGCTTAAACTGTTTCATGTCCTGTCCCCTTTAGGTCGTATCTTCGCCAACACACCAGACTCTGCCTGTGTGCTGGGCATGAGGAAGCGGGCGCTCACCTTCCAGCCTCTTGCTGACCTGAAGGAAGACACAGACTTTGAGTAAGATGCATATTTTCCATATGACTTACTGTACAACAAGAAACATGTTTACCGGGTGAATATATGGGATGATGACTCCTCTTGTCTGCTTCAGGCACCGCATCCCTAAGACACAGTGGTGGCTGAAGATCAGGCCCATCATGAAGATCCTGGCCAAGTATGACATCATACTAGACACATCCGAACACGCCGACATGGAGCACGTGATCAAGAAGAGGAGTCCTCTCGGGAAATAGACTTAGTCTATTTCTTTATAAAGTATTTTTCTTGTCCAGCTACCTGTCTACATGCCTCGGTAAAAGAGCTGCTATCTTATCCTTTTGAATCTTGTATGTGGTCTTTCTCATAGAATTCAGTGTCTTGTAGCTCCTCAAACCTTCAGGAAATCAAGTAACCAATTAAAGATACATTTAAATAAAAATATATTTGTTTGTCCTTTATGTTGAATAAGGCGGAATGTCAATAGACAACTGAGAAATTATAATGAATATATGAATCTTATTAAGGGGGAGGGCTTTAATATATTTACCATGATTGGTAAGAAAATTACCTCTAAATTGCCTGCAGGTAGAGAGAAGATTGCATGTGGCAAAAGTGTTGTGAGCCAAACATATTAGGCCTAAGTTGCATCGCAGCCAGAACAAACACCATGCTGCCTGTGGTTATACCTGAATACCCATCCATCCATCCATCCATCCATCCATCCATCCATCCTCCCCTCAACCGCTTATCCTGCGTATAGGGTCATGGGGGGCTGGAGCCAATCCCTACCTGAACGCCCCAGTCACTGAATTATAATATTCATAATTTGCAAATGTGATTTTATTTTAAAGGGAAAATAAGCAGTGGAGCCATTTTAATCTTCTACACTGTTAATCCAATAAGATGTAGCTGTTTTCTGTTTGTCAGTGTACTGTGTGACCTATCTTTGAACAACCTTTTTGGGTTAATTAAAGTGTTTTAAGTGGCTTATCACCGGTTTCTGATTGCATCTCAAGTGGTGCCAAAAAGTGATTACATCACAGCTCTTTCTTTTGATGCCCCACAAGAGGCGTTAGACCATTTATTAAACCTGGTAGTAATCACTGAACAGCCTTTATGGGCATTACTGTGATAGTAGATTAAGTCAAACCAAAATGCCTGCTGCCTTATATTTAAAAAAAAAAAAAAAAAGTACAGGTAATTGTAGAAAAAAAAAGGAAGTGTCACATTAACGTTTGCAAATAAGAAGATTATTATTTCTATCGTCACTGGGCTCACAGTAACATTATATTGAGTCCTGGATTCAAATACTAAATAAATACTTTATGGATGTTCAGGCCTACAAAGAAAAAAAGTATATTATTAGAGTTTAATATTTGAATAATGTTGGTTCTTACAAGTATATTGTACAAATATGATTTGAAATCAGGAAATTAAACAAAAGTTTGCTTTTATTGTCTCCTCCCAAACCCTATTTGGATGTCATCATCAAGAAACAACTAACGGTGCATAAGACCTACACCTTCACTTCCTCATATAACGTTAATTCATCTTTAGATTTAGAGTAGATGTAAATTAGCTTTTGTCATTCCAAATACAAGAAGTCTGCATGTATATACTCATCGGCACATAAATATTGGAATAAGCACTTTCTTGCAGAAAGATAGCGAAGAAAACTACAGTGTGAATCCGGAAAAGGAAGAGGAAATGGTTTCTGCAGAGGTCACCGAGACCTCGCGGTGGCAGCCGGGACGTCGGTGGACTGTGCGCCTGCTGTTGAGGAAAGGTGCGTGTCCCCAGTGTCCGCTCCGGTCGCCCGGTTAGGAATGCGCCTCAGGAACCCTGTGTGCGGTGTAATACTTGATGAGACGCCAGCGGGGACTGTGGTCTAAGAAGAGTCATGGTTTGGCATCGCTTATAGTATCTTAGCGTGCGAGTGTGATTCATTGAGCTAGCTGGCGTTAGCCCGCTTCGTTGATTGATAGCACGCTAGGTCGTTAGGCGCAGTTTGTAGAATACTTGCTAGCCGGCTAGCTAGCTTGTAAGCGAGTTTCAGTGTGCTGCCGGCCAATCCTGTCGAACAAGAGAGAACCAGACTGACTGCTGAACCCAGTCGCTATTTCGGAAAGAGGAGGTGGTGGCAGGCGGGGCCGGGAGAACGCGACGGGGTGGAAGTGAGTCAGGAGCGGCTGATGAGTTCAGACCAGAGCGGAGAGCCGCCGCTGCTGCAGGAGGAGGCTGATCCCGGACCGAAGACCGGTGGGAAGGACGAGGCTCGGCTGGGGAGCGAGGGAGGGTCAGGCGGCATGGTGAGTGAGGCCTTCATTAGCTAGCGAGTTAGCTGGCTGGCTAAGCGGCTACTGCTCATTGGAGACCTGTTAGCACTGTACGTCCCCCTTTGCATGATGGGCGAAAACAGTTATTCATTCGGTAGCAGCTGAAATTAACCCCAAACTAAGTTTTTAGCTTCGCTTTGACTTTGTGACTATTTGCGTAATATGTCTGTTTAAGCGCAATGTGATATTGATCAGTCTCCCATTTCTCAACACATATGGCAGCATTTGCGCGACTACTAACTTGCGAGCTGTACAGGCATTTTACTCACTTATAGTCAGCCGATCTCCTCTGCAGCCCCTTCAGATAGCTAGTTAGCTAACGCTAGCTTAGCCAGTGTAACAAGCAAGCTCATTAAGTAGTTTGCTGAGTAATCATTAGCCTTTAAGTTACGTTATGATACAGCAGTCGAATGGCGACAGGGCTATTTGGAGATGAGGCGTACTAATTGAGTTGTTTTAAATGTATAGGTGATCGATGCTTCGATTATTGGTCGAAGGATAAACGTTCATTCACTAACGTTATCTGTTAGCTAATCGCGCTGCTAGCTAACTTAGCTAGCGCAGTGACATGCGTTGCAAATACCTGGCCTGTGCTGCGCAGCGTAGTCAGCTGACATTAGTTGGCTTGCCTCGGCCTGTAACACAAACGCATGCATTGTAACCATGTGTCAAGTTGCACCTCAGTTACATGTTCACGCTCTTTTGACTGACACAGAAGCATGACCGTCTGACACATCCTCCCTTATTTAATTTGTGTAGATGAGTGTCTTGAGGCATATCGTAACTGGCAGCTGTACTTGTCAGGCCGGGTGCTTTTTTTTTTTTTTTTAAAAGGGGGTGGATCTATTGGCAGGTGGCAAGGGACAATGTCAAAAGAAGAAGCTGATAAATTTGACAGTTAGTGGTGTTTCAGAGTCAGTGCACAGCTGTCATCCACTCCTATGGAGAAAAGGACAATCTACAGTTAGTTCACATCAGTATCTGTATGCCTTAATATGTACAGCATGTGATCTATTCCTGGCCACAGATCTCTGCAGGGTCAGGATTTCTCCTGCCAGTCCACAGCCCTTCTGATATGGGGAGTCGCATCCAATTATTGAGTGATGTGCATTGAAATTCTAAATATGGTTGTGAAAGTAAAATGTTATGTACTCTTAACACTGAGATTGATTTTTACCTAGTTTTGTCAACATTTATTACTACACAGACATTGTGGATACTCTTTCCCTAATTATTTTCCTCCTTGAGGTTAATTATTTTACCCTTTACAAGGTAAAAGCCACACAGGGGATAATGGGGCTCTATGTGGCACATTTCTCTATAGTTTCCTGGTTTCCTATTAGATGCCATGGAGGCCCAATATGCATGGGTTCCTGCCATCCTAAAATTGCACCAGGTGATTTCAGTTAGTGCCCTGCCGATATAAGGTTAAAGTAATTAGTGAAACCAGCAGGTGTAGCAATGATTGGCTGTAACCTGCATGTGCTCAGTCCTCCATGGCTCACTGAAAACAGTTTCATTCCTTGTCTTTGTTGCTACTGCCTGTTTTGTATGTACATTGATGCTTTTGTGATAGCGGATGGGCCTTCACATGTAGTAAAGATGTAACGTTTACCCAAACAACAAAAGGTCAATTTTTAACTTGAGTTTCTGACTAGTACTTGGGAGAGATACATTTCCAGTATTGATACAAGTGCATCAGCCTGTAGAGCTAAATCATGTTAAAATTGTTTTAATTATCTGAATTCATGTTTCTGGGGTGTTTTTGAAGTTTGAAAAGTAGACGTGGCATTAGGTAATTAGTGTTTCATTGTTTTGTTACTTTTATATTTTCCAAGTCCATTGCCATAATTGCATTAAATTATCATGTTACCCTCCTTGATGGTCATAGATTACATAGAACACTTAACAGATCTGAGGTTAATTTAATGCATTGAAAATGCTTGGTGCTTACTGCTCACTGTTAATTTCTTGTGTGTGTGTGAGAAATGTTTGCTTAAGCTCAAATACAAACTTCATTATGCTTTTAATATAGATATGAATTGAACTTGCCTGCTGTTGCTCTGCTTTGAAGGTCACCTCTAAGGGCGCCGGTTTGAACCCAAATGCCAAGGTGTGGCAGGAGATGCCTGTGGCCCCCAGCGAGGCTGTTACCCACAGCCCTCATTGGCCCCCCTCAGACATCAGTGAGGGTGAGATGCATTTCTGTCAGCCCAATAAAATATCGATCAGAAAACATAACAGATTTTTATTTCAACTTACAGAGCTGTGTGAAAAAATGTATTTCCTTGGAAAACTGGTCATTGACATCCATGTATCTGGTATAAATATTTACATTTTCCTAGTCTGCACCAGCTTTACCACTTATATTCTTGTTTAAACAACATTTTGCCTTAAGTTTTGTTTTACCCTTTCCTTGACAACATCTCATACATCGTAACTTTATTAAGAACTAAACCTAACAGTGGGAAACACAGATTTTCCAAATTGACACGATGAACGACCCTAATGATCTGCCGTTTGTCCTTAAAAAGAAACTGTTTACCTTGACCATAGGTTATTCTGAGCCTTCGTCTGCTGGGTGCAAGCAGTACACTGTGGGATTCACGGCCCTGGATGACAGCGGCTCCACGGCAACAGCTGACATAGCAGTAAATGGAATGGACCCTCCAGAGTTGAGCTTTTCCCCCGCCGAGTCCTCCACAGGGACCTCAGGTCAGTCACATCACATGCAATTGTCGCCACGCACCAACTGTGGCTGCAAATAAGGCTTATTCGCTTTTAATTGCAATTATTTGTTTTTATTATCTACATAATAATGTTTGGATGGGAAATAGAACTTCACATGCCCTGAGATAACAAACTCTGTGATCTAATATCAAACCGTCTCCACAGCTTATATACAATACTGCTGTGTGTGCCGAACAAATATGCTTACCTACGCCAGTCTGTAGGTTCATACCAACTGATCACCTCAGCAGGTGATTTCACTGAGTGGTAATAAGTGGTTGAAAACCTACAGACTGCTGGCTCTTCTTGCCATGTGGTTCAGCATTATTGTCCCCTGATGATATCATCAAGGTTATTTTCTTAGACTTTGGAGACACACATAGCCACTATCATGCGCAACTTTGAGTGAAACAGAATGTACGGTTGATGGCTTAATCTTAACAATTATGTAGTTAGTGTGTGGTAAACCTATCCTATACTTATTGTAGTAATTGCACAGTTAAATGCAGTCCAATACAACAGTCCTGCCATAACATTGATCTTAATAAAGATTGTTGAGGGGGGTTGCAAAATTTACAAAATGTCGTAACCAAAAACTGTGAAGCAGAGAAGGTTAGGTGCTGAATGTCAGAAGTTGGGTAAACAACTTATGAACCTCCTGGCAGTGCTGTTAGTGGTCGGGCAGGAGAAAACTAGGATTTTATAACTAAACTATGACCAGGACGCACACTTATACTTTCTCTGGCTGTGTGGTAATCTGATGTTTAAAGTGTGGGTCTTACAGGTGAAACATGAGACTAATGTAGACTGATATAAGCGTTTAGCGTGGGGCAGCTGGTGCACCGAAGAGAAACTAACTGGCCAGTGGAGTGGAAAGGAATAAGGTGTATTGAAGAAAAGACGTCAATAATAATGAATGTTTGTAAAATCAAAATATCTATAGATAAGAAAAAGCATGAACCAAAAGCAGATGCTGAATTAATAACCGATGAACTTAAATAAAAGCATGTTGTCACTTTTCTTACCACTGACATTTTTTTTTTGATTCTAGTGGATTCCAAGACGGAAGAACAGCCTATCTCCTCTGAGAATCTACGAGAGTCTCTGAAGAAAGAGCTGGAGTTTTATTTCTCTAGGTAAGAGGCCAGCACTCAGAGCACCATTTTACAACGTAGAATTTGGAGAGTGGATATGTTATTACAAGTCAAGCGAAGGCCAAGTTACATGGATTTGTTGTTTTGTTTTTTTTGTTTTTTTGGTGATTCAGAGAAAACCTCTCTAAGGATTTATACCTGATGTCCCAGATGGACAGTGACCAGTTTGTCCCTATTTGGACTATAGCTAGCATGGAGGGCATCAAGGTCCTCACCACTGACATGGACCTCATCCTTGATGTGTTGAGATGTAAGTGAAATGTTGAAGATGGTGCATGTTAAAACAATCTGCATACATCTGTGACGTGTCCAGATTTAAATACCTTGCATTTCCCCTCAGCCTCTCCTATGGTACAAGTTGATGAGAAAGGAGAGAAAGTGCGTCCTAATCACAAGCGGTGCATTATTATCCTGAGGGAGGTCCCTGAAACCACACCTGTTGAGGTAAGGCTTACTCGTGCACACACTTTGCGATGAATGCCGCGTGTCTTTGGACGCATCAAACTGTGGTTGACGTTTATCTGAAGTGTGAGACTGTTCGTCTACTCTACTTCGCAGGAAGTGGAGTCACTGTTCAAAAATGAGAACTGTCCAAAGGTGATAAGTGTTGAGTTCGCACACAACAACAACTGGTACATCACATTCCAATCAGACACGGATGCTCAACAGGTAATGCAAGTTAAATTGTACTTTTCTTTTGTATTCAGTAGAAATGCTGCAGCATGAATGGTCTTATGATTCTCTTATGCTCCCCTAGGCATACAAGTACTTGAGAGAGGAAGTAAAAACATTTCAGGGAAAACCCATTATGGTGAGCTAAATTAAAACTCATCTCTCAGCTCATCTTGGAAAGGCCTGTTTGACTTTTTTTTTAGCTATTTCACTGTTTGCTCTGCTTTTTTTTTTTTTTTGGGCTTTTTTCAGGCCAGGATAAAGGCCATCAACACATTCTTTGCGAAGAATGGCTACCGTAGCATCGACAGCAGCCTGTACGCTCAGCAGTCCCAGAGCCAGTCCCAGTACAGCTCTCCACTCTACATGCAGCACGTCTACCACCAGCAGCAGTACCCAGTCTACGGCATCGTACCTCCCACCTGGACGCCCTCGCCCACACCGTATTTCGAAACTCCTTTGGTGAGAGACACTGCACCTACGCTGCTATGAGACACTAACCATCGAACCTTCTCTTGAATTCATCCCTCGTGCACCTCCTTTGAAAACATCAATTTTCCATTTGCATTTTCAATTTTCTTGTTTCCGTGTGTCATCAGCATTAAATGTGTAAAATGTGATGCAAATAATTAGTCTTGACAGCCACAAGTTGTGCGCCGGCAGTAGCTGGAATCTCCAGTCACCACAAAATTGACTTCTCATTGCCGCCTTGTTTTGTTATGACTTCTGAAGAGAAATGCATTGAGTGAATTCAAATGAGTCTTTCCCTTCTCCATCCTTGCAATTTGAATTGTCCGCAGACATGAGCACACTATTTTGCATAACAATGAGTTAGTCAAAATGTTCTGCACACACACCAAATAATACAGTAAATTTATTTTCAGGTCCATGTACAGCTACTGAATGAGTAACTTCACAAGTTGTTGCATGAAATCGGATTTTTAATGTTTTATATTTAATGTCTTTTGGTCCTTACGCAGGCACCGTTTCCCAACAGCAGCTTTGTGAATGGATTTGGCTCTGCTGGACACTACAAAACTGGCTCCAATTCCCTTAATATCAGTCGCCCGTTCAACAGAAACCGGTAAAGACTTATTTTTTCCACATGCTGTCTATCAATTTGTTTAATCTAATTCTGGTATATGCGTAAACATATTCTAACTGGAATGTTTTGACCACTTGTGTAATTGTTTGCACAATGTTAAACCATGGCATCAGATCATCTGCAATTACATTCTGTCTAAAGATATAATGTAAAGTCACCAGGGAAATGTTCTTTACTCCCTGTCTTCTTGCTGTCCCCACAGTGTCCCCCTCTATTCAAGAAAGAATGTATTAAATGCCTTCAGGTACCATTATACTGTACAATAAGCTTCATCAATACCTTCATCTCTTACTGCTCATACTGCCGCAGCCAAATGACTAAATCCATAGCGGGGCCCATGCCTTCTGCCAGCTTTTCATAGCCCATAATCCTTCTACATCAGTGGGATAAATGTTTGTTGCCAGGTAATGGACATCCTGGATTTGTCACGTCATATGATAAATGTAGGTTTGCCTCCCACATGGCAGCAACTGCTATCTGATTCTGAGCAATTGGCTTTTTTATGGCTCCAAACATCCTCTTTGCATTGACATTATTACATCTAACAGTTTCTCTCCACCACATCTAACATCCATTTTTTTTTCTCATGTTTTACTGCTGCTTTCTTTGTCAGTGACTGTATTACCATATGTCATGTGCTGTTTTATGCTACATTAAAGAAATGCTGACAGTTTGGATTTAAGTCTAGGTCAGCTGCCAGCTTTAATCCGTACACTTTAAACCCTTCACAAAGAGATGACACCCTTGCAAGTTTGTTGATACACTGAAAAAAGTAGTTTAATAAAGAAATGTCTCAAGTCTGACCCAGTGATGAGATCATGATGCGCATAGAGGGTAACCAAGGAGAAGAGTAACTGGCTTTGGTTCTCTCTGTGTCCTCTGCACCTTATTCCTTTTTCTTTTCTCCCCCTCTCTCTCTCTCTATGCTTCCCTTCCAAAGTCAGGTGCTTCACTCCCGTCCCAATGAGCGTTCAGATTATGAGATCTGAGGGTCAAAGACTCATGAGAAGATCAATCCACGTGAACTGCGCTCCTAGGTTTTTGGCAAACAATGTGTTTGGGTCTTACATGGCCGTTGTCAGCTCTTCTTAATCAGTTTATGATTGGTTCCAGATAACCAAACATACATTATGTTGACATCAAAGTCTCCACTGCTTCAACCAGTCATAAACACAAATGTAGCCCCCCACCCCCGCATGTCTACACATTTACCCTGAAGACACAGCATGTTGTCTTATTCCTCCAGCTAACTGGTGCCACCAGTGTTTCCTTTAAACTCATTTACCCTTTATTATCTGAAATGTTGATGGACCCTCAAAAATAGAAATTGCAGTTTTATAATCTAGATTTACTCCAATCTGTTCCAATCTCCACCCCATGACCTCAGTGCCAGTACAGTGCTGTTTTATTATTGTCCAAACACGAGTTTCACTTATAGGACCATATGGGTGGTATAACATGGTCTAGCACATTATATGGGATTTGTGTAGGGATGGGGATCGACACCCGGTTCTAAAAGGACCCGGTTCCAAAATTTATCAAAACCCGAAAATCAATAAGGTCCGAGCTTATCGATACTGATATCGAAACTAGCGGGTCCCATAATTTATGGTGGGTGGGTGTGTGTGTGTGCGCGCGCGGTGAAGTTCCGTTAGCTCCAAACTACTCGAGGTGCCGACAGCTAACTTACGCTTGTTACTGTGAGTACGTCAGTGTTTACCATTAATTAACGAGACCATGGCGGTCCGCCATAGTCCAATTTGCTCCACCGTAGATTCAAAATGAACCGAAAGTATTTTTTACACATCTAATAATTACATTTCAGACCTCTAAAGTTGTGTTTTGCTCCGCGCTACTGTAAGCACGCACGCTTTGGCATTCGACTCGAGACAACCACTTTTATTCTTGGGTAACTACGGTAACGTTAACGGCCTGTTTCTGTCACTCGTTTGTGAGAAGGCGATTAAGTTAGCCACGCCTATATTTGGAGTGCACACCTATTAAAGCCTTCATTTTAAAGGCCCGGTTTTCAAAATAAGGTATGGAAATAAAATTAATTGAATTAACTTCACTGAAAGTATAAAACATATTACATGTGTCCATTATAAGTAAAAAAAACAAACAAACAAAACCATAACATGTTAGGGAATTTACTTATTCTATTTTCTATTCTTTGATTTGGAAAAACATTAAATCTGTTGACTTCTGTTGCTGTTTCATCACCATTTATAGCTACAATAGGTTTATGATCAAATAGTTTTAGAGCACAACATTGTTTACAAGGGTACAAAGTTCTACATAGATACTGCACCAAATTAATGCATTTACCTATAAAATGTACAAAATTTTCTTCCTGGGGTGCATGCCCTGGACCCCCCGAGAGTGTCCGAAGCCCACCCACCATAGTCTCTTAAATACTTGTGGGGGAGACACTGTACGTGTAATAAAACCTTCCTGAGTAAAAAGACAATACTTTATCAATACACCTGTCTGTAAGCTAAACATCTAGAAAGGGTTACTTTCATCATCTGTCCTCAGTCTCTCATCCTGTTTTATACAAGCACAGCTAACTTTAACTCAGTATTGTGATGTCAGATATTGAGTTTATATAGTGACTTTGCTGTTGTAAACATTAATGTTGCTGCTCTAGAAACAGCATTTGGCTGTATTTAAATGAGTTTATTTGTTCCAAGTCACATGTCATCTCAATATATAACAATGTTATCGCACATTGAATATTTTCCTCATACCGTGCAGGCCTGCCTCATGCTATGTTGGGTCTGGTCTTACCAAATAACCGTCACCAAATAATAAAGTATCGCTAAAGAATCGGATCGTTAAGCAGTCTCAATAAGGGTATCAAGATCAATAAAAATTAACAATCCCCATTCCTAGGTTTGTGTAACTGTAATAGCTGCTGAACATTTTTCAAACCACAAAACATATTAAGAGCACTCTCACATGTATCTATTGGTGCATTGGTTATTTATTTGAAACACAATGTAATGTTGTGGATTGGACCAGTATGGTCAGTGTGATGCCTCGTAAAGTTCACCCCCTAAGGTCCCAGGGCCAAAATTATCCCCACAAGCAAAAAGCTGTGCAGGAAACACTGGTTACCAATGTCTTAGAATGATTTTCAACTTAATATTGACCTTGGTCATCTTCACCTTTCCACCCCTCTGCAACAGAAACCATGTGAAGCCCCAAGTGAGAACAAATGAGGTGACCCCAGCGTCTACAACTCCTGTCCCCTTGGAGAGTCTGACTGGGCTACGCAGCCCGCAGCCCCTCGCTGCCGTTGCCGCCACGGCCCCTAACCCGCTCCAGACGGCCTCTGACCTGAGCTCGGCATTCTCACACCTCTCCTCGTCTTTGGACCCCAGCGATGACAGCGGCATGGCCGGACGTGGAAGGTAAACCTGTCATACCAGTCTGATTTGTGCCGGACTGTAATGGCTGCGATACGATCAGTAACACTTAACTGATGTTGAGGTACTGTTGAGACATAATTTATTTGGATTTCAGACGGAGCACAACCTACAGAGGAACACGGAGGAGGCGAGAAGACGAGCGGATTGCGGTAAATGGCAATCTTCACGTTTTCTTTAAACGTGCGTCTATTTAAAGCGTGAAACATAATGTGATCTCTATTTGTTGGCTTCATTTCAATTTTCTTTCTCAGAGGCCAGTACCGCTAGCAGAGGTCAAGGTTTCTCCACCCAAGTTTGACTTGGCTGCTACCAATTTCCCACCTCTTCCTGGCTGCGTGGTCAGTACACAGGGAGAGCCCGTGCTGGAAAACCGAATGTCAGATGTTGTACGCGGTTTGTACAGGGACAAGGTAAGGATCTCTTGGATAAACTGCAATGACAATAGTGTTGAGAGGGGGATATTTCAGAGGTGTAATGTGGAACGCCTTCTTGATTTTCATAGACAGAACAAGCCAATAAAGAGGTTACTGTGAGTCCAGGTTCAGGCCAAGCCCCAGCCACAGAGGAGGCGGCTGCCAGTCCTGCCGTGTCAGCAACAGCGAAATCTGCTACACAACCACTCGGCCCCCCGGCCCCTGTGTAAGACTATCTCAATAATTACAATTTAATTCAGGATGTTTGGTGGACTAAAACAACTATATTAAATGTAAATTGCTAACTCGAGTGTCTGAAACTCTTGTTCTGACAGGATCACTCGTCAGGAGAAGAGGGTTGAACGGGCAGAGCCCCCCGCTCCAGCACCAAAAGTGGCTCCACGTACACCTCTTCAAACTACCGTAAACTCACCCCCCTCCACACACCCCGTGCCTAGCTCCAGGCCGCAGCCCTCTGCGGCCTCCATGCCAGTGACACCCAGCACGCCGGCCCCTGCCACAGCCACTATTCCCACCCCCGCACAGGTGAGAATCTGGTTCTTTAGAAATGATAGTCTACACTTGATGATTGTCATCCTGATGAGATCTTTTCTGCCTAGAGGGAAGTGAGGTAGTGGACTGACTGGCTTTGGTTCTCTCCCTTCTCTCTACCTGTCACTGTTCTTTTCTTTCCACCTATCTCTCTGTCCTTTCCACCAAAAACCCAGAATGTTCACTCCTTCCCCAATGAGCATTGAGATTATGAGATCTGAGGGTGTGACGAGGGGAATCATGAAAATCAATGTATAAAGGAGTCTGTTACATATTTTTAAAATTGTGCTTTTTTCCTGTCAGGAGCCCCGTAAGCTCAGCTACGCCGAGGTGTGCCAACGGCCACCCAAAGACCCTCCTGCTGCGGCCCCTGCTGCAGCTTCTTCGGGCAACCCGTCGGGCCAGCCATTACGCGAGTTGCGCGTGAACAAGGCGGAGGAGCCGGGCTCCAGCAGCGGTCCTGGAGACAAGCAAGAGAAATGCCACGATAGGGAGGGGGGATGGGAATGCAAGGAGAGCCGGCCACCACGTGAACGTGACTCTCAAGGCTACTACCGCAGCAATGGCCCCAGAGGCACCGGGGGCCTCAAGTTTCGGGACCAGAGGCGCCCGCCTCCAGCCCGACGCAGCTCCCCACAGGGAGGCTACAGGCACACTGGCAAAGAGCAGAATATCCCACCAGTATCGCCAAAGTAAAAACTTGATATGAATAGAAAAAAGATGTATGAATATATACATGGATATATAATTATTTAAAAATGAATAACATAAAAGCAACAACATTATGGTAGCCCCCTCCCCCCCGGAACTTGTCCAAAGAAAAGCTTTTAAAATGACAAGACCGGGACATCCAGGACTAATGGGCAAAATGACTCCTGAAGAACTTTTGATAAGTGATTTGAAAAGGAAATAAATATCTTGTCTGGGCCTCCAGCATTTATGCTTAAATGAATTTAAGTCTGATTTTTCTGGAGGCCATCTCATTTATGCTCTGCTAGGGAGAGGTGGGATGCTGGGCCATGTAAATGGCCCTCTACTTTTTTTTTTTTTTTTTTTTTTTTTTTTTTTGGTTAACAAATAGATGTCTGCAAGAACAATATGCACTAAGAAGAAAACATGCATATGTCATGTACATATACAAAGATCACTAACGCGCAATGAGACATCAGTTTTTTTCCCCCATGTGTGCTTAGTTTTGCAAGTATGACTGAAGGGTTGACTGATGTCTGTGTATGCATTGATAAGCAAAATGATTGAAGTGCTACAGTGTGCTGTTGCACTGATGTAATGAAATGATGAATTTTGATTTTTACATCAGAGATTCTGAATCATTGTCCTGAAACTGGACAGTGCGGTCTTCTAATGTATATTAATGAAATGCGTTCTTGGTGGTATTCTGGTTCATAATTGGCTTAAATTTGATTATGAGAAACTGTTGTATGCCGCAGTCAGATGTGTGGTTTTGTTTAAAATCCACTTTGGGGTGTCCACTAGCCTGTTAGCTGTGGGGAACCTGCTAGCCTGGTCCAAAGTTTTTCATGTTAAGTTTTTATCTATCTGAACCATCTTGGGTCTACCCACTCAGATGGCTTCAGAATATTGTCATGTTGATAATCAGTCAGATTCTCTGTTTACATGTTTGTTTGGGTAGTAGGTTGATGTTTTCCGAGAGGATAAAAAAAAGAATAGGTTAATGGTAAGATCTGACTGTTCAGTGCGCCCGGTGGTTTAGGTAAGATTTGGCTTTCCTACATCACAGGATACCCAGGTTAAGCTTATATCTGTGAATTGTTCTTAACAATGGCATAGTGTCAAAAATAGAGTGAGGAGCGTGCTGGTAGCTAAGGGTGAAAGCTACATAACATTTGGCAGCTTAGTCGTGGGTATAAAGAACATTGGAACATTTTCACGTGTTATGTGCCAGCTGCCTGCTATCATATTGTGCTAGGGTAAAGTTTTGATTTTTATTGAAAAGGTCTGCTAAATAATGTAGTCTTGGGGAAACGTTTGGTCCAGTAAAACTGGATTTTGAAGAAGCTGTAGAGGTGTAGTTGCCCATGCTATATTGTAATAACCCTTCACTAGAAAGGTGTGGGAGAATGTAATTGTTTTAGTACTGAATTTACAGTGGGAGGCTCTTGACAGCAGGTATCCACCAGATTGTTTTATGCTTTTAGGGTGAGTTTGCAGGTTGGTTTGTTTTTTATTTATTTCTCCCCCCCTTTTTTTTTTTTTTTTTTTTTTTAAATTAAAAACAGGTTGACTTAGAATTTGAAGTTTGACTCACTGTATGTATTGCTTTTTAAATGTATTTATTTTAATTCTGATGCACAACGCTTTTCTCCCAATCTTGGTAGGCTGGTTTCCCCAAAGTTGTGTGAAATCGCATTGGCAAAATAAAATCACGCATATGACATTTCAATTACTGTTCAAGATATCAGCTGAGCGAAAATACTGGATGCATTGTCTTTGGGTTTAGTAATACAGTAAATGAGTAACCAATCACTGGGGGATGTTATTTCTTTTTCATTAATGAGTATGAGCAGCTAGTGGTCTAGTATAATTAATAAATGCACTAACTTGTTTTAAAAAAGAATCTTACTCATGAATAATGTGAAATCATTTTAGAAGCATATGGTTGATGTTGACAGGCTTGCAAATAGCTACAGGAATTGCCCCACCCCCACTGCCCCCTCCATATGTTTGGGTTATTTTCTCTTAATTTTGGTTGGGGTGGCAAAAGGAAATATAGTAATGGATCAACCAAGTGTTTGAGACACAATCCTAGAACTGTATGAAGTCACCAAAAATAAATTATTTTGATTTGGCTTTCCAGTGTCATGTTTTTTTCTATCTTGACGTGTGTAGTCCATGTACACAACACAACCGGTGAATGGGTTGCAGTGTTTTATAAAAATAAAATCAACGATGAAGCCCTACGTATTTAAAGGCATTAGATATACAGATCTGAGCCTTCCATAATTTAAATGTGTTGTCAGCTCACCTGTCCACCCACTTTATAGTTTTATTAATTTTTTTAACATTTATTAATTTAGCTGATGCTTTTATCCAAAGTGACTTACAATTGCTATGCATGTCAGAGGTCGCACGCCTCTGGAGCAACTGGGGTAAAGTGTCTTGCTCAGGGACACAATGGTGGATGTCTCACAGTGGGAATCAAACCCAGGTCTCCTACACCAAAGGCAAGCGTCTTATCTATGCGCCATCACCCCCATTCAGTTTTGCCCTGAACCCAACCATTCCTGTCAAATTATCAGGCATTTGGTGGGATTTAATACATTTTGTAATATTTAGAGCTGGGGGCAGATTTTCAAATGTAACTGGGAAATTTCTCATCTCTTGCAAAACTGCAAATTGTCTGCATCCATGCGTGTTATGTGTTGCAAGATAAATAATACCCAAGAGAGCGACAGGAATCCTGCAAAAATGGTTTTGAAATATATATGAAATATGCAAAAAATGTAGCTTTGCATCTAAAATGTGTCAGCACCAGTTGGGTTCATTCAGGTATATGAAAATGTTTGTACAGGCTGGGTCACCTTTGTAGGCTTGTGCAGAACCCTATGTAGGCTGTTTGAGTGCTTATTGTGGGATGATGTGGTCACAGAGAAATTACAAGGCTTGCTTAATTCATAGTTTTATTGATAAAATGTCTATTACCATTTCCTAAAGCCCCAAATGGCAATTGTTTTGTCCAACCAGCAGTCATAAAAATAGAGATTTTCAGGTATTGTCCCAGGAGAGAAAGGAAAGGAAGCTGGTCAACTGAGAGGCTGGTAGTGGGAAATGTTTGGTGTTTGCTGCTTGGAAAATTACTTGACAAGACGATCAGTCAACAAATAGTTCCAGCTGTAATCTTTATCAGCTCTAAATCTCTATACATTCTGGCTCATGATACCCAATCATTTTAAAATGATCGCCAAAATCAGTATGTAGATGGCTAATGAAGGTCTGGATCGGAATTTCAATTAAATTGTGCTGAAACATTAAGTTATTTATTAAAGAAAATACATTTATTGGTTCCAGCTTTTGTTTCTCAAATGTACGATCATGAAAATAATAACTTAAGTTGCAGCCCCAGTCTAATATTCAACGTAAAACTGACTTCACTGCAACCTGCTTTTCTTGTGAATTCTTGACTCGGTCCCAGAGGAAATATAAAAATATGACTTCAGAATAAATGAAAACATCAGTGATTATGGTCTATTTGTGGCTTGTTAGCTTGGCTCTCCACCAGTAGCTGCCTGGGCCTGTCAGTCTTCAGTGATTTGTAAAGCCACTTGCTCGTTGTGTCTCTGCTGGTCGATAATACCTTAACATGGTCATGAGCTGAAGGCATTCACGGCACGCCGGCGGAAGCCTGCGCTGCTGCCGTACACGTCTATATCGGGAAAGTAAGTATACGCTTAGTAAAGCCGTCCCTTGCAGTAAGACACCATAAAAGCAAATATTCAAAGAAAATATCAACTTATTTGAAGTTAGCGCAGATTAAAGCGAGCGTCGGCGCGGTGAGGTTTAGAAACAGGGAACGGAGGCTCGAGGCAGAGGGCGTGGCCGCGAGCGGTGACGTCCAGTGTTTATGTCAAACCGAGCAGCAAACAGTCTTTACGGTAACCTGTCAGACCTTCAAACCGTGGACCAAAAACGGTACGTTGTCTCATTAGCATCGGTCATCTATTGTTAGATGATGCTAGGGTGTCTTCAAAGCGTGTTCACAAGTATTTAAAATGAATGTCATTTGATTTTTTCTGCCTACGAGGCTCGATTGTTCCTCGCATCTCGATGCTAGCGTTAGCATGTTAGCTAGCTAACTAGCTGCCGGTGAAAATGTAGCCGGGGATCATTTTTTTTTACCTCTAATTAAACCGACCTGTAAAGGTCTCTTTGCTAACCAAGTGGCTCTTGTGAATCTGTTTTTTAAAGCTGCCACTTGCTGTAAAATGTGCATCACTTTTGCAGACTGTATTTTTCTTTCTTTCGTGGTGGAGCAGGGTTATTTTGCGAAGTGAGCTAACGTTAGCTGTCAGTGTTTTGTTTATGTTTAGTTAGCATACTTAAAGTCAGCTGGTGACTTCCATTAAACAGCAGCAGCAGGATAACGTTAAGCATCAGCTCTCTCTTTTTTCTTTTTTTTTTTACAACAGGACAAGTACACACTATCCTGCTTGCATGATCTGGGCTATGGTGTCCTGACAGTATTTCTTCAAATCCAAAATGATTATGAAAGAAGAACGGGGAAATGTTGTTAAATATTAATTTTGCTCATTTACAAAAAAATCTGTTATGCATTATGATTATTCTCATACATGATTGCATGGGATTTCGAGATTAAGATCAAACGTAGTTTGACATAATGACAATGCTTTTATTTCTGATGTTATTGCTACAAACACCCACATAAAACGACATATCGATAGACTCCAAATATTCAGTATTACCAGTTTTAACAGACCTGATTATACTGCCAGTATAATTTTACATGAAATTGAAGAGTGTGTTTTTTTTTTTGTTGTCATGATGAAACAAAATGCTGCAGACACAGCCATGCTGGTAAAATGGTGGTGGAGTGAATGCATTTCTATGTTAAAGCAACAGACTACATGTAAAAATGAAGTTGTGTAACACACACTCCCTACCACTAGCAAACAAGAGGTCTAATCACGCAAAATAAATGAAAACCATCAAGGACATTTTAGATGTGTTTGTAAGGGTCAGGGATCTTCTTTGTGTCTAACAGCTTTTAATTCCAACTTCTTGAAATGTCTTTCAGTGTGCTGTAGTGTCACCCCTGCCCGGGTGCCATGTTCCTCAGTTACACATGAGCTCTACTATGTGGTACATCATGCAAAGCATTCAAAGTAAATACTCCTTGTCTGAGCGGCTCATCCGCACCATCGCAGCCATCCGCTCGTTCCCACACGACAATGTGGAGGATCTCATTCGTAAGGTAGGCCTGCTCATCTTCCAGTCTGCTTTCAAATAAATAATATCTCTTCCATCAGTTATATTGACATCAGTGTCTCCTGTGTGGCTAAGGGAGCTGATGTGAACAGAATGCATGGCACACTCAAGCCTCTGCACTGTGCGTGTATGGTCGCTGATGCCGACTGTGTGGAGCTGCTGTTGGAGAAGGGGGCAGAGGTATGCCATATCACAAACCATTTCCCATAGCATATGACGAGATTTAAGATTTATATACTACCATGAAGTTGACCGGCTGAGAGTTGGACCTTGCTTGTGATACTGTAAAGATGAGACTGTTATCTTTGTGGGACAGTTTAAAAAAACCCTCTTTGCTATTTGTGTTCAATTAAGCTATTGAATAGTTTGTTTCCAAAACACACTGATGTGCCAAGCTTGCCTGAAAAGTGGGCGAATTGCATTTAACCTTAATAATAATAATAACTGTTTTTGATGATAGCTGGCAATAATGGGTTCTCTAGGTGAAAATGTGTGAAACCACCTGTATGGTCAGTTTTTTTTCTCATTTAGTATCTAGAGGTATTTAGGGTTACAGATTTGGTTACATTTGTCCAGGTGTAGAGTTGTCTATCTGTGAGACTTCTGCCACTATCCAAAATCAAAGGAATGCCAATGAAATTTAATTTGAGGTGCTCATTGTGGCGAAAAATGTAATACAAAAGGCACATAACTGCAACATCCTTGGTTCGATTCTGGCCTGCGACACTTGTTGCATGGGATCTTGTTTCACTATTGACTGTCCCATGAAGAAACAGTGTCCCAGTTACTTTAGAGAATCACGGTGGACAGTTTTCTATGCAACTATATATTTGTTAGAAAGTAGTTCCATTGAAGATGTTTTTTGAAAGTTGGGTAAACCAAGCCTATAACTGTTGGGTTCTGTTTTCATGGCAGCGCAAGCAGTACTAAAACAGTTTCGTATTTTCCTAACCCTGAAATTTACCGTCTGTGTGGTATTTCAGTGCCCAATTACCACACCCTCGGATCCATATTGTACTTCAGCCAGCCCTTTTGCACTTTGTGCTTCATGCAAATACATGAACCAAAACAGCAGGTCTACAGTCCACATGCCCAAGACCTACCACTTTGTAACAATTAAAATATTGCTTTAAGCGTTGGTAACTCCTTGGCATAAAATGTCTCATTGCATTATATTTCCTTCTCAGGTGAATGCTTTGGATGGATATAACCGCACTGCATTGCACTATGCAGCAGAGAAGGATGAGAGCTGCGTGGAGCTGCTGTTGGAGTATGGAGCCCAGCCAAACGCCCTGGACGGCAACAAGGACACGCCACTTCACTGGGCTGCCTTTAAGGATAACCCAGAGTGCGTGAGGGCCTTGTTGGAGAGCGGGGCCTGTCCCAACGCCCGGGACTACAACAATGACACGCCTTTGAGCTGGGCAGCAATGAAGGGCAACCTGGAGAGTGTCAAAGTGCTATTAGACTACGGAGCCCAGGTCCATGTGACCAACCTCAAGGGCCAGACCCCTATCTCCCGATTGGTGGCCCTGTTGGCCCGGGGCCTGGGCACTGAACAGGAGGAGGAGTGCCTAGAGCTGCTGTGCCGGGCAGCAGGGCGTTTTGAGATCCGCCGGGCTGACGGCACCCTTCCCAGGGAGCTGAGCAAGGATCCCCAGCTGCTGGCAAGGCTGACCAACATGGTGGCTCAGGCTCCCACACTTCGCTCTCTGGCACGCTGTGCGGTCCGACAGAGTCTTGGAGTCCAGTTCCTCCCCACTGCTGTAAAAGAGCTTCCTTTACCAGAGACTATCAAAGACTATCTACTGCTGAGAGACTGAGGCAGTGAAACAATGGGGGGGCTCCCAGACCTCACTGGCTGATTATTAGACACCTCACCACACAGCATTTACTGGCAAGGAATTGTCTGCATTGCATTCTAGGATATTATTTGACAGTGACCCTCATTTATCATACCTTCTTGCATATGAACACAGATTCATGCACTGGGAGAGATGTATAAACTTCTCCAAGTCTTTTTTAAATTATTATCTAGTGGTTGCACAACATCTAATTGAGGAGTGCAGATTCAGACATTTGATCAGTTACAGTTGTAGGAAAAGACTGCACCAGTCCATGTTTATATTGATTCATAACTGGCCTTTTCTTAGCCCACCCTGCATGCAGTACAGAAATAAACTATAACATCAGAATTGTTGGTCTGTTGACCTACATGAAGCTACTTGTGTCTGATCATCCAGCTGTCCACAAAGAGCCACTGCATCTTTGAAATTTTAAGTAGGATTATTGTTGTTTTTTTGTATGCAAAAGTCACAAGAAGCATTGAATATTATATAAAACTTTAAATATAATAAAAAATGCTATTATAGTTTGTCACAGAGCGTGAGGAAAATCTTAAAAATTGAGTTTGGTGGTAAAATTAGTATATTCTCATTGTGAGTTTAGATTTAAAGATGTGAATGAGGGCTAATGTCTTACGATGCAGACTTTCCAGTAATTCTATCAGAGGATTCACTTCCTGAAGTAGTGCTCAGGAACGAATGTTATGCAGTTTGTATGACAGTTGGAGTGGCCATCTCACCCTTGATTACGTTCCAGTGAACTCACAATGTAATTGCAAAATTTTTGCAATAACAAGGGAAAACTAAAATAAAAATAAAAAACAGAACACAGCAGAATTGTATTGTATTTGTTATGTAGAAGTAACAAAAGGTTGCAGAATATTATCAATGGTTTCACAAACATGTGCCAGGCCCACATTAATCTTGCATCCATCGAGTCCTCTGAAAATGTTCAACGATGGTAAGTGGTGTCAACAAGTCTGCTTTCATATGATTTACTATTTATTTAGGTTTTATTTTAATGAAAGTTGCCTAGGAGGAATAATATGTTTTTGGGTTTTTTTTTACAATGGATGTTTTCAGTCTTAACAAAAGTTTAGGTTTCCAAGGTACTCCCTGGTCCAAAATATTGCAGCATATGTTTAAAAAATGACTTTATTTTTAATCAAATGTTTAAATGTTAGAAACATGAAATGGCATGCGTACTAAGTTTTTGTTCTCGAAAGATTCACTTAATAAGCTTGCAAAATGTATTTACGTTTGTTATGGCATCTGTCTAAAATCTGACCATTTCTGTGCTTGATTTTGTTTGCTTGTTCTGCTGCCTGTATGAAATGAACTCCTTAGATCATGTGTTGTGTACATCTGCAAAAGTGCTTTTTGCTTTGTCAAGGAAATGAAAGTAAATGCCTTTATATTCTATAATATTTTTTTCTCTCTGTTCTTCACACAAATGTGAACTTGTTAAGTTTAATCAGACAGCTATAATACATCTAACAATTTATAATTAAATGCTGTTACTTTAAAAGCTCTGCTGCTGTAGCAGAGTATGAAATTATAGGCTTAAATCAGATTGCGGTTTTATTTGTGGTGGTGATGGGGCAATGGATAAGACACATGCCTTTGGTGTGAGAGACCCAGGTTCAATTTCCACTTTGACCCATCCACCATTGTGTCCCTGAGCAAGACCGTTAACCCCTAGTTGCTCCAGAAGCATGCGACCTCTGACATAAATAGCAATTGTAAGTCACTCTGGATAAAAGTGTCAGCTAAATGAATAAATGTTAATGAAATGTTAACTTGTATACACAGCAGATCTTTTGACTTGTCATAGCAGGAACAGCACTATTCAAGTGTCCCAGCATGCACAATACCAGGGCCCTGAAACCAAACCAGCTAAATGGAATTCAGCCTTCATTAATTGTAGTATTTACACCCGTGCTTCTCTTATACCTTTAATGCACTGCAAGTGAGTCTACACTGTTTTGATTAACAAACCAGTTATCAAGCATCAACGCTTTTAAAAATGAAAAGTTTACATGCACCTGTAAGGGACATCATGGCAATGTTTTGATGCCCCCCAAAAAATCATTGTAAGTGACTTATGATAGGAACACCTGCTGCTTTCTCACTAAAAACACACCCAAATTAAAAATATTAAGTAATATTCATTCATACATTATCTACTGGGTCAGGAAATATATAAAACACTATGGATATTAATTTAGTGAAGAAACAACTACATAGCGATTTAAAATAGGGTCCTCTCATTAGTGATTAGTATTGAAGGCAGCTGTCATCACTTAGTGCCTGTATAATATATACAGTTTGACTGCACCCGACTACGACTGAACCGTAGTCATTACAACGAGAGGGCCAGAGGAGCTCAAATATGAGAAACCACATCCTACATTTACAGACAGAACTGTAACTTGGCGCCGTTTGTGAGAGTTTTAAATGCACAGGCAAAAATCTACTCTTGGAAGGAAAACAAAAGGAACTTCAGCACATTCAATTCTCAAATTATCCATCGGGGGTCTCTCTAGCCTTGTCTCTGAATTCACAATTATTGGCTTGTAGAGCGGCCTCTCAATGAGATGTTTAGTGTGATTTGTATATTGGAGAATAATTGTAACGTTATGTAACAATTGCTGTGGATTACATCAGCTGCCCCGTCTTTAATACCTTAATGAAATATATATAATATATCAAATATATAATAAGAGCTGATTTAGCATGAATTCAAATCCAATCACTGTAAGGTATTTTATTTCTGTGAATTAACTTCTTATATTTTAGCCTAATATTTTAGACTTGTTCACCATGCTGCCTTGTACTGCCACAGTTTATCATTAGACCCTCGATTTGGATAAGGAAAAACTCCCCCAAAAACCCTTTGAAAGGGAAACAAATATAAGAAACCCCAGGAAGAGCAACAGAGGAGGGATCCCTCCCCCAGGACAGACAGTCATAAGATATATCCTGTGAGTGAAGTTTTTTTATACTGTATGCACTTTGCTGTAAGGAAGACATTGGACATCCAACTAATAGAGATAATGTTGTCTTTGGTGTCTGCACAATAAGCAACAGAAGTGACTGTCTTGAACAACTTGCTATTATAAGGGGAATTATTTAATCATAATACCAACTGTACAAATAAAATATAAGAAATAAAAATAAAATTAGTGAGCTATTACCAATATTTAATTAATGGAATATGGCGTGGAATTTGGTATTTTGTTACTTTAGTTTAGCCCAAAACAATAACGTCCTTTTCTACCTTCTTTGTTTGTATTTTGGTGCCTTGATGGTTTATTTCTTAGTACTAACGCTTTTGCTTTGCCTAAATGCTGTAGATCATACAAAGTTTCAAAATAAGCAAGAAATTTTTAAGATGAGCAGTTCTTCCCTTTCACTATAACTTTGATAAACCTACTTTGTCTGCTGCTTTTTACATTATATGAATATTTTCAACACAAGATCAAAACCGACAATTATTCTGAGGCAGAACTGACTGTAAGCTGGTGTTACACTATATTATTTAATCTTTAAAACACCGTGACCGTGTTTTCATCATACTGTAACACATACTTTATTTTGATGGCCATAGTTTTAGATAAGGTAGCCCGAAAATCAGGAGCCTCTCATGCCGAAGTCAGGACAGCATTCATTTCTTAACGCGTGGTGTGGCTCCGAGAACTGACGTAAATTCTCGCGATGATTCGACGTCAAGGGGAGTGTCAAATTCCAAGAGAGAGGACAGGATAGGGGAGCCAGAGAGAGGGGCGCAAGGGTGAGTTTGTAAACACTTTATTACCCTATAAATTCGCCATAGATATGTCGAATACACTAAACTACGAAAAAGTAGGGCTCACCGCGCCAGTTTTCAGTGTTTGTTATTGTTAAAGCCTAACGTCTGTTGAATTGTCAAACTGTTGTGGGAGCTACAACGTTTCATTCGCTTTGCACTCAAGTGTCAGTCCGCTAACCAACTAACTGCTAGCGTTTTTTTCTGCTTTTGTGATTTTGACGGTCCGCTATGCCTTTAAACACCAGTTCGTTTCGGGTTTAATTAAATTAGTGTTGATGTGTGTTTGTTGTCATCGCTGAAACTGGTAGTAGCGCTGTTATTACCTTTTTGAGTGTGCGTTCGGCCTGTTGTTAACTAGCCACACCAGCTAGCCATTAGTTTTTCGTGGATACGAAAAGTTGATTTCGGGTTTTTAGCCAATAAGATTCAGCTAGCCGATGTTATTGACAGGGTCTAAAGCGTTGCATTCACCCGATGCTTTTGACTGACGTGCTTATAGCCAATTGCTGGAAAGGATAGGCGGTCTTGTTACGGGAAAAGGCAGGGCTACTGTATGCCCGCACGTCGCCAGACTGCAATGAAGGATAAAAAACACAAAACTTTTTCATGCCAGTGAGCGGTGTCTGGAAGAAGGAACTAAAGTTTGCAAGACTTCAGTTTGACATTGACCTCTTTTACATACCTGAAACCTCACGACAGATATTTGCCTCTCGGTTTTTTGGCGGTAGAAAGTGGTAGTGGTGATCTGGGTCTGCAAGACGACCCTCTGGAGAACTCAAAATCTTAATAACGATATCCATATTATTGCTGTTTGAGCTTTTGGACGCCCCAGGATCTGCATCCCGATGCATGTCAACACCTTCATTAGGAATGTAGGTCATGTTTTTGGCAGAGTTGTACCTCATTCCATCACATAGAGTTACATCAGAAAAAACTGCAGCCTGTTTTGTCCAACCAAACATCTCGACCCACTCTTGAGTAATGATTTAAATGTGACATTTTATGAAACGTAAATGTTCTTTGTTGCAACTGAAACATCATCACATTACACATATTGTTTGTTTTTTAATATGTGCTGAGCATGGATGCTTTAATAGGTATGTTTGTGCCTTTGGCGCTGAGATGTCAGTGATTTGTCTTTATAAATCAATCATAATCAGTTTATTAATTAAGTATTTAAAGCATAAATCATTTTGCAAAATGATTGTCAGCACAAGGGCTGTGCAGGATCTATTTTTGATGAGGCCCAAAACTTCACGACAAGTGCTTATAAAAGTTGTTGACCGACCACAAATAAAATCGGGGCAGTGTTTGTGATTTAATTTTAGAAAACTGCCCTGGGTCCATCCGGTATTGTCCTGCATTGTCTGCTAGCTCAGCATGGATTTAGCTTTTAGGCCTTGGTAGTTATGCAGACATGGATATAGGATTTCATTTGTTCCATTTACCAAATATCAGGTTCACTTTGCTTACATTAATACATATTGACGGCTGCACACACCCGGCTACAGCCTAGCTCTCCGGGCTCTAAAGCTCATAGCCCACATTTACAGGATCTCACCTGTGATCCAGCAGATATCCGTGATCCTTCAATTGACCAATTGCGGACTGCACTTTTCTTCCTTTCGCTATTTCACTCTCTCCCTCCCCCTCCTTAACGTTTTTTTTCTTTTTGTGGGGTCTCCCCTACCCTCTGGCAATTCAAGCCTCAGATTCCAGAGTCATAGCTGCAGCGCGAGCTATTAATACAGTTTGTTTAGTTAGTTTCCTAGCAGGCTGCATCAAACACTGGATGGCTGTGGCTGATTATAGCTGGGACTCGTTCCCCTACACCTGCTGAGTCGGAGAAATCCAAGTTAACGGTGGGACTTTGGCAACAGCTCAATGAGAGGGGACAGGAATTAGGGTACTTTGAGTGTGTCCATGTCACCTTGGCTGAAAGGAGGCAAAAATAGGTGGACTTGATATCCGTGCCTGTAATGAATATCAGTGATGTCTATCAGAATGTAACTGGCAGACTGATTGATTGTTTTTCACAGAGTTGAAGTCTGCACGAGGGAGAGTATTTTACATTGTGCAGTAAAATGTTATGCTGTCAACTCGTTAATTAGTTTATTCTCAATAGTCAGTCAAAGCAATAAATTAACAGCGTCATTTCTTTCTGTATACATGTGAGTCTAGCAGAGGATTTCAGATTAGTGCTATAGCTTATGAAGGTGTCCTTCAAGATAGATTGTTTTACCACAAAGCCAAGCAATAGATTTTGAAGAAAAGGGATGTGTTGAAGACATCTGTTTTAATCAGGTTAAGCTATTGGTTGGGGCAACTTTGAAAACAAATGGTATTTTCCGCCCCTGTCATCTAAAATTTATGGTGGAAATCCCACATTTCGTGTCGGTGCCAGGCATCCAAGTTAATGTCTAGCGTGTCTCTAGTAAGATGTAAACTCTGAAATCTGTTCCCACTCCTCACGCCAGATGTGTCCATTTCCCCACACAGTCCACACCCTCACTATAACGAGCTAGTCGGAGTATCTCGTTTGCAGACACATCTTTGCCCAAATAGACTCAGTGGATTGGAAGCGCATTGTGAGGGCCATGGCACCAACCTGTTGCCTTTCTCCAGAGCATGGGAGGTCTGCTTCTTTGGCCTTTTTGATCTCCCCAGAAAGGGACAGGGCTTTTGCTTGCAAACACGAAGCAGATCTCTTTCCTCATAAAGTCGTGGAGCTGAGAGACACAACGGTTAGGCCTGTTGCAGGCCCAGCGTCATGGGAGAGCGTTGTATTCCAAGTGCAAGGCTTCAGTAATCATGTGTTGGCTCAGGGGCAGCTGTCCTCAGCAGAGGGAGCGATGGGGGGAGGAAGGAGGAAAATATACTGACTTCAACATTGGGAAAACTTTCAGACATTTATGCCTCGCCAACATAATGAATAATCTGTCCCACTCAATAACGTTAGGCTACATGCACAATCTATGTAGTAGGTACGACAGAGGTGAATGTGGCCAGTAATATTACAATACTGAGCATGTTTAACTAACATTGCTTTACAGTTTGTGGAATAGGTTTAAAATTGGATAATACATCTGTAGAATTTTAAATAAACATGATTAAACAGGCATTTACAAACAACACAGAAGTACAGAGTCTGTCATGCCATCATCATAGTCAGAGTCAAAGGAGGCGGATCCCAAAGGACATGTAACACGTATGTTTTGAAGGGATAGCATTCAGTCATTAAAGTCGGACGCCATCCCTGCTCCTGACTAGCGGAACCTTATTGAGTATTGCGGTAGACAGTCGGCTTATGTTTATTGAAAGGTTTCCACTTGTATACACGACGAGGTCCATGATGCATGTTGGTAGTTGCTGTACTGTCAGTCGGAGCGTGTTGTGTAATACCAGACGTCACCTTGTTCCAATCGAGAGTGCTAAAACATTAATGTCCATTGCCACCTTCACCCCCTCCGATTCCCTGGTTTAAATTCAGTGACCAACTTATTTTTTCTAAACTTCCCTAGTTTGTCTTCACACGGGATGTTGTTCAGCTGTGCAGAGCAGTGGGCATACACACTGGGGTGGTTTAGTAGAGGATGGGGTTAAGGCGAGGGCGGGGGGTGGTTGTGAGCAGTTCTTCTCCTCTGTGGAGACAGCTGATAGAAGCAGTGAGCGGTACACAGCTTTAGTTTATGTCACTTCAACTTCAGGCACAACAGGGGGTGAAACCAAACATAACAATGTGCATATTTAACCCTTGACAATACCATTACCCTGGAAGAGAGAAGTGTATTATTTGGTTTTTTATCCCTGCGGTTTCCAGTACATCCAGATGCAACTATCCTTGTGTGCCTCCTTTTTTACAGCATTGTCAAGTATTAATGCTCTGTTAATAAAATCTTTCATATTATGTTATTACAGCAAAGGGCAGGACAATTAAATTAATTTATTGAATTACTGACATTATATATATCTTATCTACCTAAATTCCCTCTAATTGCAGTTTTCAATGAATACATTGTGTGAATTCTATATACTGAAAATGAGAATGGCTACAACAATGAGTGATATCGCACCAGAACTTCAACCAACCAGTTTAGACCCAGATGTCCAGAATCTAAAAAGCGGTCATACTGTAATTAATCTGGACAAACACATTGGAAGTGAGCCAACATGCAAAAGGAACTATTGTATTCTGACGTACATGAAAATAAATATTGCATGGATCATTTTGAGAATTAAACGTGACGAATTATTGTGGCATGGATGGTAGCTCATATTGTATAGCCCTAATATAGAAGTAGTGTTATTATCCACATTAATTCAGTTCATTTTAAATAGTTAATTTCAGTTGTAATTTATCTAGACAGCCAGCTAGCCAAGGTGTATAATGATATAACTCTCTCTCCCTCTATATATATATTATTTAAGTTAAAATATAATGGCAATAGTTTAAAGGTTTTCTTCTTTTCCTGAATTTAATCTGCATCGTTCTGTTTTCGCTGAACGAAATAAACAATGAATGCCTCTACCTATTAATTATTTTATCTCAGAGACTACACCATCCATCCCTAGTTTACATTGCATACAGTCATACCAAAAGTATTATAACATTTGTCAGCATTCCTGTATTGAGTTAAAATGTTATATTAGATTTTGTCTGTATTAACAGTAATGCTTGTCACTTGTATCCACATACAGAAAAAGCAAGAGTAAGCCAGGACAATAAAGTGAGGTACACTGTAGGGTCTGTGCACAACAGAACAGCTGAAACAGCTGAATCAGGGAGAGGGTGCAATTGTAGGAGGGGTACAAGAAGGTAAAAGGTTGGGAGGTGCCTGAGAGGTGAGAGGGAGGGAGTGGTAATGGGAGGAGGTTGGAAGTTAGGGAAAATGAAGGAGAGGGAGATGGCTTTGTGTAAACGGTAGCTGTCGTTCTCTCTTGTAAGCAGCTCCTCATTGGCCAACCAGAATCCCCCCTGTGTGAAGGAAGTATCACCAGGGAAACTTCGTCTCGCTGCCTCTGTGCATGTTTTCCTCCTTGCCAGGGTTATTTTTAAAATAGCATTCGGCTTCCTGCTCAGACTAAAGACTACAAGCCACAGCATCCCTGTTTTGTTGTTTTCAGGATTTGCCAGTTCACAAATCAAGAAAAGCCGCAGCAATGTTCTCCTCTTCTCCTCTCCCACAGTTACATTGCAAGCTCTTTGCAAAAATGGGGGATGACCGACCTTTTGTGTGCAGCGCTCCTGGCTGCGGACAGGTAAGTCCTCTCCCTCTTTGTCCTGGATTTCAGGTGTGTGCATATGTGTTTGTGGTGTGTGGGGTATTTTTACCCTTGTGTAAGCAACAACTTACTTTACTTCTAAAAGAAAAATAATGAAAAGCAAAAAAAATAAACATATTGTACTTGAAAAGACACTTGATTTGAGTAGAATGAAGCTTTATATCTACAATGAGAGAACTTGATAAGCCCGACAAGACTTCTGGTCTGCCATTACACTGCCTGATTAAGCTAATTGGCTGTGACTTATGCAACACTCTTAATGATCATTATACCAATAGTGTTTTAGCCAGCATGCTGTCTTGTGAGACAATGCTGTCTCTCTTAGCAGTGACTCACTGGAAGCTCCAGTGAGTAATCAGAGCACGGTTATTGTTTCAACCTGTCACTGTTGACTTCCAGCGCCTGCAGACGCAGGTTTGAGCCACGGCAGTGACTCAGCTGAGCACCAATAGTGCACACATGCCAGTAATGCGGTGTAGTGTCGGGGCTTGGCCTGATATCGCAGCAAATTAAAAGTGTGTTCTAGGACTCATGACTGTTCAACAGGAAATATCATCTCTGTTGTGCTCAATTAGCTGTCTGATGCTGTGTTCAGCTGGGTGTGATATCCTTAGAGCTAGTGAAGGATTTTCCCTCCTGGGGTCTGGAGGAAGAACATGTTTATGTGGTTAACAAACATTTGTGATTCATAAGCCTTCTTTTATTCTCTAATCAGAAGCGATCTGTTGTACATGGGATTTACGGTTTGAACAACAGGCGTATAAAGCAGTTGAACATGCAACGTGTGTTGGATAAATAAATAATTTGTTTGGCTATTTTCTTCTCAGAACATTATGGACACCTAGGGACCCCTTCCCTGAACATTTTAACTTTCCTTTGACATGTTTCTGTGATGTAAATACTCTGCATATTTCATTTGTAAATATCATTATTTATTTAGTCTGCAGTTAAAGTCACATGGAGGCTATACAAGGCAAAGTGACAATGATGACGGTGTGTGTGACTACAGCTGTGGCATAAATACAATGGTGAACACGTTTGCAAACAGTTGCTTGTTTACATAGAGCAACATTACCTTTCATTTGGCACCATGTGATGATTGTAAATCTAATATTCACTCTCTTTTAGTTATGTTAAGGTCTCTGCCTGAGGGAAATAAATGACGCTGTACCTTCTAAATGCTACACTATGTTCATGAGCTAGTGTTGGTTGCTAACTTTGTGTGTTTGCAGTTTGGTGCGGTGCAGGTAGCGCACAGTGGATTCATCAGATTATTTACACTGAAAAGACGTGTACTGTAGTTTAGGGCTGCAACTAATGATTATTTTCATTATCCATTAATATGTTGATTATTTTCTCGGTTGATTGATTAGTTGTTGGTCCAGAGATTTGTGAAAAATGTTTCCCAAAGCCCAAAGTGATGTCCTCAAATATCTTCTTTTGTCCACAGCATAAATTATATTCACTTTACTGTCATAGAGGAGGAAAGAAACCAGACAATATTCACATTTGAGAAGCTGAAATCAGAGAATTTTTTCTTTAAAAAAAAGTACTCAAAGCAATTGATCGATTAATTGACTAATTGTTACAGCTCTACTGCAGTTGGAATTGGGGTCGGTGAGAGCGGTGGGACTGGACCGAAACAGTAAAGTTTCAGAGCAATCAAACATACAAAAAACTCTCCGTAGAACTGAGGGAAATTGCAGAGTCGGGTGGAAGTTTGTCACTACAACAAATGCTAAACACAAGCAGCCAAACAAGAAATGGACCGAAATAAAATAGAGTACAATAAAATTTATATTTAAATCATGAACTATCAGATTCTGAAAACATGTTGTTACTAGTTTCCTACAGTACGCTAGGTATCAGGGATCTAGCACATGGTAGATAGGTACAAGTGCAGCTGCAGCAACAGCTCTGCCTCAACAAGTCGAAAAGAAAAACAGTAAAAGTCGTGTATGGAAACCAGGGATGGAAAAGTGAATTTTGTGGCTGTTACCTTCTATAGCTCCGTGTCAAAGCCTCGATTTCTACCAGATTTGATAGATGTCGGAGAGCTAATTTAGGCCGACGCTTGACAGTTTTGATCAATTCAAAATCACCAGTGCAGTTGAGAACGCAAAGAACTGAATGTCTGTCCGACAAGCCTGCCTTTATAGGCGGAGTTAAGGACTGAAAGTGCAACATCCACTCCAGTCGTCAATAACCTTTTTGTTTTTCAATATAGAAATGCAAAACCACTACCAGTAGAGATAGTGACCACCCTTAAACTATTCACTTTTTTTCACAGTTTGTAAAATGAAAAAAAATTGCCAAGAAAATTATTTAATTTATTTTGCGCATTACAATGTTGTTATTTCAGTAGCTTGCTCATTTATGAATATATTGACATCAAATCATCTCTCATCTGTCCAGGACATCCTCTCACAACTTTCACAGCTGTTAGTTGTTTTTTGTAATGTTCAAATAATTTTATTTAAGAAGTTAATGTTGAAGTAAATGGGGTTTATTGTTTTGTTTTTATTTTTTATTTTGGTATTGAGAATAGTGGAATTTCACTGGTATTGGTGTCGACTACTAAATTTGTGGTATCGTGACATAACAACTATGTGCTTTAAAAAAATTTAAAAAATTTGAAACTTTGGTACTTGACAGTTTTCAGTACATTTCGGTTTGTACCAAAAAGTATTGAGGTACAGTATCGTACATTACATTATTTCAACTTAAGTATCATTATACAAATTGTTTTTAAACTTCAATCACCTTTGGCGATATTTTTGTACATTTAGACACGGAACATCCTTTATGTTACAAGTGCCTTATGTCCAAATACCGTTTTACTGCTGCCCTTTACAAGCAACAGTTGTCCACCAGGAAAATCTGAATCATGCCCATAATAGAACGAGGATGATTGACTTCTGGCTTTGCTCAGGGTTTTCCTTTTACCATGTTAACAACAACAACAACAACATCTCCCATTATATGATCCCCGGTATTTAGTGTGGGGAGGGGTAATCCTAGCTGCCAGTATCTCATACAGGGAGATTAGTTGGAGATAGTTTCCTCTGCAAGTCTCAGCCGCCTTGTTCAGAGGAAAGAGACAAATCAGACATGCAGTTGTATTGGTGATGCTGCCTGGTAGCGCTAAAAATAAGCCCTCTGACACTTCACTGCATTTCCACTCCGTCCTCTCTCGCGACTGCAACGCAGCACCCCAAAATAGGCTGCAGCGAATGGTGAATAGGCTGGTGCCAGAGCCAAGATTATTCCTCCTCCGCCTCTGACTGATTCACCTCGCCACTTCTCCAAAGAAGAAGTGGCATGTCTCAGACGATGGCTGCTGGTTCTCTCCTAACGGTCAGATCAGCACCAGGTGCCAGGCCTCCTGTAGCTTCCACTGTGGATAGGAAACAACAGATCAAAAGCTAATGTAAAGGTTTATTGAGACAGATGTCTATGACATCCACATGTTTTAGTCACAGACTACACTGACGGTGTGCTCTCTTCTGTAACAAACACCTTACACTTGGATTATCAGCATCTGTTTTGATGTGTCAGCTCATTTGCTTTTGGTATTTTCTGTGCCAGGGGATTTTACACTTCATCATAAATTATATATTATACAATCATTACTCATTCCCTACATTTCTGTGCTGTTCATCATCTCAGCTCTCATCCATAAAAGCTCCTTTCTTTTTCTAGATAATTTGTTAAGATATTTGAGCCCATGTCCTGCAGCTATAATGGGCCCATACAGGGCTTTTAAGACATGAGGAACTGTACACCACTGATACAGTTTTCTTTATGCTTTGTCATATAATGTGTGCAATATAGGCTGCATGTGTTGGGCAACGTCTCCAAGAAATGATCTGTCTGTGATGATTCTAATATAATAACTGGATTAAAGTACTATAGGTTTTTTCTTCAGGTCACCATGACCCATAGACCATTACCCATACACTACTTTATATAATGGACTTATCTTTCCTCTTTTTTCTTGTTCACTTGTTTCAGAGGTTTACCAATGAGGACCACTTGGCTGTACACAAGCACAAGCATGAGATGACACTGAAATTTGGACCAGCCAGGACCGACTCTGTCATCATTGCAGGTACGGCTTGTCTACGGGACAAACGCACTCCTTTGTGTTAAATATCCTCTCCCAGCATTCAGACGAAGGCTGTTCAGCACACCTCAGCGTCAGTGTGTACCAACACTACAGGACAGTCACAGGAAAAGCAGCTCTAAAGACACATTAATGACACGGGTTTCTATATTCAATGCTAAGTGTGAACTAAGTGTGAAAGCCTTACTTTGAACAGTTATCTCTGTTCATTCCCTTTTGCCAGACCAGACACCTACTCCCACCCGCTTCCTAAAGAACTGCGAGGAGGTTGGTCTGTTCAACGAGCTGGCCGGCTCCCTTGAACAAGACGAAGACGACAAGAGAGCAAAGAACTCTGTAAGAAAACTTTGGGGTTGATGGTTTTGTCTCTGTTTTTATCTGTGTACGTGCCTGAGAATATGCATTTCTGTATTATTATTTATAGAAACCAGTGGAATTTTGTGCAGAGACTCCCACATAGTGACAATTTACTTTTCACTTCCTTCTTTCTTACCTCAAGTGTTGATGTAGTCAAAAAGGTTTGCTTGCAGAAATTCCTGCCTTGTGTACTTTGTCTGTGTATCATTATAATTTAAATTATTGCAACAGTTTGTCAAGCTGATTATATTGAAATGCTCTGGTGTGTTTTATTTCGCTCATTATAGTGTTTTGTAAACTGATGATGTGGTTGTTCCTTCCTTCCTTTTTCAGTGCATTATAGTATATGAACATGTTATCTTTGAGGGTAGTGTGAACTCACACTCTTTATTTCTCTCTCTACCCTTTCTCTTTCTCTCTGTCGCTCACTTTCTCTTACCCATCTCTGTCCTTCTCAGCTCCCTGCTCCCAACTCTGTGGCTTTGGACATGAGCCTGCAGACGCCATCGGACGTGAAGGTGAAAGAGGAGGCACCTGTAGAGGTTGATTCCTCTCCACCAAACAGCCCTGAATCCATCTCTGGAAATTCAGACAGCAGCATAGAGTCTCTGGTTAGAGGAAAGGTAGGACAGAAATGGGTGGAGGGGAGGTTGCGTGAGTGTATAGAGAAGAGGGTGGAACCTTAAATGATGTAGAAAGATTATGGCTCATGATGCATGTCATTATAGCTTTTGCGATATTACATAAATGCACCTTGTGGGAGTGAATACTATTGTATTTTTTTCTTTCTGATGTGTGACATGTTTGACATTTTGAATTGCTGAAAGCTGTGTTTGAACTGTTTTACGTAACTTATCTCACCGCTATTCTCCTAGGACACACCACCGAGGAGTTCGGCCCCCACCCCGACTATTGTGCGTCCAGGTTCCCTCCCACTACACTTGGGCTTTGATGCCCTTCACCCCACCATGCCGTCACCCACCTCTGTCATCACACAGGCGCCGCCTTCCAATCGTACTCTGTGGTGAGCAACGTTCAGTGTCTTTCTGCTGAGCTCTTTAACACTGATATGCCTTTCCCTAAAGTTCCTTTAAAGCTCCTATAAAAACATATTTTCCACACTGTTTAACGACATCACATGTATATTCTCTCTTTGCTGGTTCAACGTTATGTCTGTGATGCGTTTGAGTAAACTTTTGAAACCCAAGATGCCTCATGTTTTTATTTTTGTTTTGTAAATTTTTAAAACATTTCCCTGTCATTGATATTGATACATGTTCTTTCTCTAAGATCCTTTTTTGACTTTTGATATACATTTTTTAAGCAGTTTTGAATGCACAGCTTGGACTAGTAACTGTTCATTTTGTAGGGTTGAAGTGAATAATTATATCCTAAATGGTTATAGCTGCTACATTACAGAAACCTTGCAGTATAAAATTGATATTCATACAAAACCTCCTGTTCCTGTTGTCCCTCTGCTATCTAGTTCGCCAACCAGCCACTACCCCATGATGATGCTTCCCTCTGGTCAGGCAGTGTCCGTGCTCCCTGGTCCAGTCCACATGCCCTCTGTCATCAATGTAAGGCAAACCACCCATCTCTATGCTGTATAGGTGTTATTTCAATTTTAGAGCTAAGACGTTGGTTCAAGTTGTTAATATATGTGTATTTGTGTGTCTTATCTCACTTCCAGCTGGCCCGACCCATGTGCATGGTACCCAACATTCCTGGTATCCCCGGTCCTCCTCTGGGAGGCAGCAGCAGCGGCTCTAACTCCCCCTCTGGCTACAGCATCCACTCAGAGGCCAAGATGGTCAGTACTAGATTAGCTCTCTATTTTTATCTCTTTTATCTGTTCTTTTTGTCTCCATCTTCACCCTCTAGCCTTCCTCTGTGCTGGCTTAGTTTGTTCATCATATGACTTTTTACCGCAGCTACTTGTTTATTTAACTCTTACACCACGACAACACAAATGGTACTTGTGTTAACGCAAACATGCAGAGCTCTATGTATGGATCCCACGTTTCAGCATTTTTGTATTTGAGAAGTGTTGTTCATTGCATGCACAAGTATCCACTTTAGTGTATAATAGGGTATATAATAGTTATATTATATATTACTCTATAGTAAGAAGTAAATTGAGGTTTCAGACACTTTCTAATCACCATCATTTTGCTCATCACCTACAGGTACAGAGTCGCATATGCATACATACATGCATGCTACTTTTTTATTCCATTGTGGAACTTTTGAGGGGATTGTGTCACTCAATTTAAATGACGGACATTAAATATAGTGCACCATGGAGTAAGTAGGTAGTGATTTTGTACAGCCATGGGTCTCTTACTACCAAATAAAATTGTCAAAATGCTGCTGTGTACTTAAATATGCTGTTGACTGGTTGCATGCCTTCACTGTCACAGTTTTTTTTTGATACGTACAGTTCATAATTTACTGGATAATACACCATATCACAAAGCAACATCTTCTGAAAATTGTTCCAGGAGGAAAATATAACTTGAGTTGGCTCACATCAGCTTACAAAGCCTCCAGACCTGAACCCAGTACAAGAGGGTTTAGATAGAACAGGACGTCACATGAATGTGCTGCAGAAAACAAGCAGGAACTGTTTCACCCCGTCATGTCACGATCAAGATCTCTGCAGAATTAGGGCACCTTTTTAATTTCGCAAAGGGGCGGTGCAACCTAATGCTTATTTGATTATGTTATGAAAATATCAGAGAACTAGCAGAAAACAGATGTTGTGCATTTAGAATATGCATACTGAGCTGTCTGTCTGCAGCAGAATACCTCAGCACAAACCTTTGTTTTTATCACACATTGCATCTGGTGCAAAAGTCTGATCAACAACTCACGTTAGGCTGTGCTGAAGATTAGAAACAAAGTTTTAGGCCAGGTTGTTGTTGCTGATGCTGTGAATGAGTTTATTGGTTAACATGGAGTCGTCTTGTTAGGGCTTGCTATGATGCTGCGGTGACGTTTAAATGATAGCAAAAAAGTACATGTGAAAACTTTAGCGCTATTGCTTTTGAATCTGAGCTTGTGTATTCTAATTCCTGTGCTTGTTATTGATGTTGGTTGTATCATTGTTCTCCTGTAGCGTCTGAAGGCTGCCCTGTCCCAGCAGAGCCCATCAGGACAGAGTATGGGGATCATGGCCATGGGCAGCAGCCCCATGGTGCCTCAGAGGGCAGAGCAGAGCCAGCTGCTTGTCCAACAGCCAGATGCTCCATCACCTGCACAACCTCAGGTACGCTGTGTTGTCTGTAGTGATGGTCCTGACTGAAATTACTACAACTTTGTTGTATCACCTGTTTCAGTTACAGAAAATTGGGGCTGTACTTCTTGTAGTGAGATGACTATAATGTGCTCTGACTGAAATAATGAAACTATGACTCAAACTTCCCTTTTCTCTCTTGTCTTTCTTCCGCTCCCCTCCCCTGTCTGTCTGTTTCCTCCTCGCCCTTTCCCCTCGTCCTCTCTCTAGGTATCTCCAGCGCAGCCTACAGGTGGGCGTCGGCGGCGGACTTTAGATGATGACCCCGATGAGCGAAGGCAGCGCTTCCTCGAGAGGAATCGGGCCGCGGCATCGCGCTGCAGACAGAAACGCAAACTGTGGGTCAGTTCCCTGGAGAAGAAGGCAGAGGAGCTCTGCAACCTGAACGTCTCACTGTCGGTGAGTGGGCTTGGAGTGGGTAGGTGGGTGACAATGAAATGTGACCTGTGAAGAGGCATTTATTAGTGTGTGCGCAGTCACATTGGCTGTGCCCAGTTGACAGGCTTTCAACTAGTTGTGGAAGTTTGTGAGGTGTTTTCCAGATAAGCACAGTTAGTTTCAGGGAATGTTGGGTTACATGACTTGTAGCCCTGGAATTCATTACAACTTGTTTCACATCTTTATTGTGTCATTTGGTGGTTTCAAGTTATTTTTACACTGCATAACCACTTCTCCAGTGCCAGCTGTACTCTAGCGGAAACCAGACTGTTTACCCCTTTAGAGCATTTCTAAGATGAAAATGAGATGAGATTAAAAATCCATTCTCAAGGATTCTGTAGCCTCTCTTCGCTTTATATATTGATACTGTATGTCTAAACTATGATATGAATTCTCCTTGAATTACTGAAAAGCGGTGTACGTCCTTTTTGCCTATCCTTCAGAATGAGGTGTCTCTGTTGCGGAACGAGGTGGCTCATTTGAAGCAGCTGCTGCTGGCCCACAAGGACTGTCCGGTGACCACCCTACAGAAGAAGACTGCCTACTTAGGTAAACCTTTAATAGATATGCCATGTTACTCACCTGGTAACCTCCTTCAGTAAGGCTGGTTTGGAGTGTGTTGAAGGTTAAAAGCGAAATGCTAATGCCAGTTTGGGTGTAAGGCTGTCTTTCTTTTTTTCCCCGTGTAGCTGCCGAAGAGAGCATGAAAGACACCTCAGAGCCCACAGGTTCCCCTGCCCCTGTGATCCAGCACAGCTCTTTGGCACACAGCCCCTCTGCCGGTCAAAACGGCCTGAGCTCAAGGGCAGCAGCTGAGGCCATGGCTATGTCCGTGCTGGCAGGAATGGGCCAGCAGCAGAGGGCTGAGAGTGGACCCTCTCACATTGTCATGGCTACACAGTCTCAATCTGCTGCCAGATGATGAGCGATGGCACCGTGGCCCAGAATTGGCTCATCACCCAGGGGTAAAAAAGAGCAGCGACACCTCCCATCCCCTCTAATTTCCCTGATCTAGAAGCCCAAATTTCTAATCTTCCCCTTCCCCCTTCGCTGTGTTCCTCTGCTCTCTCTGACCCTCCTGTGGAGCCATCGTGCTGTGGCCTGGAGCTCAGCAGCAGCAGCAGCCTTCTGGGAATGGACTGAGACTTTTGAGAGAGCTTCCTGTTCACTTTGCCATAGACTACAGGGGCTGGACTCCACTTCCCATCCTCGTTTTTCCCTCTGTGCTTCCCCGCTCATCTCTCCTGCCCTCAAGTCAAAACAACTCTTCACTGGACTGTAGGACTGCATCGCTCTGAGCATACCGCCGTAATGAACTTTCTACGTGGACGCGTGCGCACAGTTTCTAACACACAGGCGTCGCCTCAAACACTCTCGATCAAATCAGATACCAATCAACACACAGGGCTTTTACACTGTTTTCAGCAGGGAATAGTGCCTTGTGCTCCTCGACTTTTTAGGCATGCACACAAACCCACACACAAGCCATCACAGCATATGCACCCTATACAGCCTTTGGCTCCAAAGATGCAGTAGCTGTCTAGACGTCAGTGACTCAGATCTCAAGTATTCACCCAAACCTTTTTGTAAATGGTTCCACCTCATGGTGAGCTCAACATGGACCCAGAAACTTTACCTCATTTACACCCCTTTATGATAAATTTGATAAACTGTATGTCTGATTGGCTCTGTATGTGTATATTTATGTACATCAGAACATAGCCGTTTGCCTACTCCTGATCTGAAACGTCAGTAACTTTGGATGGGATTGTTAGCATGTGACTTTTTCTATTCGGGTGTTATGTTCTTGATACAGTATGTGCAGCTATATCTTTTTTTTAATGAATTGGCACATCCTCCTAGATTAGTCAACAGAACCAAAATACATTGGATCTTAAAATAAGTTGTTTGAGCAATAGCTTTTTATTCTGACCTGAAGGGAATTCAGACTCTCCCCTCCTCTTCCTCACCTTCCTCTAAAACAGGCAGGTTTAGCTGTTTATTGGTTTGTAAGTGGACGCCCTTTCCATTTTATATGAAACTATTCTAGTGGCTGTGTTTCTCTGTGTGGGCTCTGGACTTACTGTAACTGTTATTTTCACACTTCTCAGGATGGTTGCACATCCTTGCTGCTCGTTGGAAGTGCGATGAACCCCTTAGTCTCTTTGCTCTTTACCAAACTTAAACTAAGCCATAATGACAACAAATCCGATCTCTGAATCGCCAAAGACCACCTGGTTCTTGTTCTTGGGCAGGAGGTTAATACCCTGTCTGTTGTTTTGTGTGATTCAGAGGTCACAGTGACACAGTCTAAAGTATATCACTGCTTACTTGCACTTGCTTGTTACACACAGTCTCACATAACAGTGTCTGATAGTTTTGCCTTAAGATCACATTGGTGCCTCCGATAGCCCCACTTAAATATACACAGATTTGCTTGTGAGAAAAACAAAAATATATTTCTTTTTGTTCATTTCATCAAATAAAAAAACATAACCAATGAGGAACAAAATATGTACTCGTTGAACTCCTCAAAGCTTTTAACATTAATGTTTAATTTTAACCATTAGTCTCTTTTCAGTGGCGTAAAATGATACAATACTTGTCTGTCATCTGGTGGAGAGACACAGTAAAGATGTCTTCGCTGGTAAACGCTTAAGTTAAGATGTCTTGTGACTATTTCTGAATGGCTCCAGTTCCTTTCGAAAAAGATGTTTTACCGAGATATCAGTATACTTTTACATAAACAAGCGGTTTGCTTTTCAGTTTTTTTTTCTGTATATTTTTCCCCCATCTTTTATATGACATGTTCATACATTTACAAGATGTGATACTTCAAAAAGAGGATATGTCCGCTAACACGAGGGCATGCCTTTATGCACTAAAATAATGCAAGTTTATTTTGTTGCTTTGTGTTTCAGTTCAACTTTTTTGCAGTTCTCTTGTCCTCTGGGTCTTTCTCAGAGATATCAGATTCATTTTAAAAAACAACAACCGCAATATTTGCTCTCATCTGTACTGTATGCATAAATGCAACGTTTCTCTGCAACTTTAATACCTTTCACCTTTGACTGAACCTCTTGTCCTACAGTCCCAATGGCGACCCCGGCATTTTGTTGTACTTCAAAGCTGGCGCTATATTTGCCTGGCAGTCCCTTATATATATGATTGTTCATATGAAATGAAAATTCAAACTATATTTAGCTTTCATGTTTTCATGTAATTCATGTCATTGGCACCTTTTATGTAATTTCCTGTTTTCGTTTGTTGCGTGCTATTCCCAGCACTATACAAATGTCATAACGCTTCTGATTGTACTGATGAGTATAGAAACTAATTTCTTTTAACACATCTTTTTTTTGTTTGCTTTTCTCTACAGAAAAAAAATGTTATCAGTCTGTTTTTCAAAAAGAGATTATATCCCCTGTGTTATATCTTTTAAGATTAATCTGGTCACGTCTTTTAAAAGCCCTTGTCTAACTTATTTTTTAATTGGTCAACCAACAATCGTCATTGCGGTCTTTGGCATATTAATGTTACCTAGAATTGTTGTGAAAAGAGCAATTTAATGAAAAATGCAACAATGTGAAAGTTGCACATAGTGTATTAATGGTTTTTCACACTCCCATTGTTGGACTGATGATTTCGAAAATTGTCCTCATTCTGTACATATCTGTACTATATGAATATATTTACTTTTCCATGCATGTCCAAGTGGAATACTACGAACACTTACAGTGCTGCAGTTTTAATTAAAGATACTACATCTTAAAGAGCATTTATAAAGTTTTGTTTGTTAATTTTCATTGTAGAATCACAATGATAAAAAGATGTTTTCTGTAACTTTGCTGTAATACTACATAATAACTGGAGCCTCGCAGTCAGTGCTTGGTAAAATGTGGTATGAAAGGAGGTATGTTTGAATATGAGAGAATATACTGTATGTAAGGATATTGTACTGTCTGCTTTGTTCATAGTAGTCTGTGCCCAATGTTCCTTCTCCCTTCAGTCATGAGTCCATTATTGTGTTGTTACTAATGACTATTTAGAGAGGTGCAAAATAAGTAACTATAAGTACTCTGGTTCATCTTGAGTATTTTATAGGCTGATTGTAGTTTTTTTTACACTTGAGCTTTTTAAATTGGACCAAAATGGAAATAGATAAATTCAGTATCTAGTGATTGTAGTTCTGGTTGTATGCAGGAAGGCTTTCAAACAGTACTTAAACCTTCATGTTGGGAAATAACATTTACAGAAGACATAATCAAACATTTAACTTGTCATCAGTAAAATCCTTGCTACAGCCCTGCTTTCTAGATGTTTTTGTAGTGCACTCAAGTAGTTTTGGAAAGACAAAAAGTGACCCAGTTGCCTACAGTTATGCTGTTAGGTTAAGTTTGCTTTGAAGCTTGTTTTCCTTGTAAGACAACGTCCATGTTTCTTGTAAGGAAAACATAATTGTAACTTTTTGTAAGCAGCCCTTTATTGCGGAGAAAGTGGTTGGAAGGATATTTATTTCTATAATGGTTACAGTCAAGATGCCACACTGCCTTTTGATGGTGACCATAAGTAACTTACTTAGAGTTGTGTTCTGATCGTATACTGGAGCAGTTTTCAGTATCTTACAGGAACTGTGGTATAATTTTAAAATAAGGTACTTCATCTCAAGCAGGTTATGGGCTGGATTAACCTCAATTAAATTCAAAGAACTGTATTTATCCGTTTGGAACTTCATTCGTGCAGAGCATAGTACAGCATACCACACACACACACATTACATATAAGTAATCAAGGGTTGTAAGTAAATAAGTTAATAAGTAAAGCTCAAAAAGCACAATAAATACATGACCTTGACCTGCTATGGGACCCTGAGCCAAAAATAAGCTGCCAACAGTTTGTGCATCCTACATATGGCTCAAGTACCCATCAGTTGCTGTTTACATGACAGATTTGGACGACGTTTGGACAAAAAAAGACATTTTAAGATGTTATCGTGACTACCATAGACTTGCAATGGCTATTCCTTTCTATTTTCTAATATTATATAGTTCAATTAATCAAGGAAATAATCGTCAGATTAATCGATAATAACATAATTATAATAATCTACAGTGCCCATGCCCATGTTATATATGAATGATTTTGAAAAAATATCTAATTGTGATTGTATAGTTGTATAGGTGAAACATCCTTACACACGCTGGTGTCACGGCAAATAATAAACTTTTTTCCCCTGGAGGGGTCAGGTCAGGGTCCACTGGAAGTCCAACATGTTTAGCTGGAAAATGACAAATGCACGGCATGTGCTCTGGTTCTAAGTGAGGGGTGTGTGTGTGCTTTTGTCAGTGAGACACCAGAGGGAGCAGCAGTAGTGTCAGTGTGCTTTTTCCGCCTGGGATGCGGCGAAACGTACAGGCGAGGTAAAGGCAGTCACGTGACCGCTCGTTGCCGTTGGTGAGTTTCCCCCAATATGGCGGAGGGGCCAGCCGTGCGGATGGACCGTCTCTCCCACTCTGATGCTTGTTTTGTGTCTTGAGGGAGGGCGTTTTATTTTACATTTTTTTGACATTCCCTCGCCACCGCCTGGTTTCTTCTCAGATAGACTGCACTCGTGTTTCTCGGCGGAGTCATGGCAGACCGCGGCGTGGATTTGTCCGCCCTGCCAAAAGAGGTTAGAGACCAATTGGCGGAGTTGGATCTGGAGCTGTCTGAAGGTAAAGGAGGGGAGGGGGCTGATGGGAGAGAGAGAGGGGGGATGCTATAGCAGATTTTCAAGCTAGCTGTGTGTCTCATCTGTCTGGGCCAACTAGCATCGATTAAACTGGTAGTTTCCCTCCTCCGGTTTTGCTTTACGTTTCTAACACATTGTATGAGGGCACACGTCAGGGGTGCGGGTGCTCAGGCTGTGCCACCTTAGTTAGCTTACTTTGTGCTAATACAGGATGTGGGCACACGAGCTAGCAGTGCATGACAAGCGGGGGGGGGGGGGGGGGGAAAGACTTATCAAATATCATCCATTTCCTCGTGTCTCCTTCATCTCAAATCTTATAGTAGCTCATTTAAGCAAAATGTCGACTTTACAGATGTCTTTTGCTGTGTGAATAAATGTCAAAGCCATAGCTGTGTGTGTGTGTGTGTGTGTGTGTGTGTGTGTGTGTGTGTGTGTGTGACTTGTTCGACACACAGGATGGCCAGAGGCAAGGTCTGGCTGTCAGGGCTTGACCCCTTCTCCAGTCATCTTTAGTTATAACGTTACTATTTCATATGGTATGAATTTAAATTCATCTGTGGCCACATGTCTTACAGTTTCACATCATAAAGCCATTCACTTGGCATCTGTTTTTAGGCTGTAGCTTTAAAATGTTTTATTGCAGTAATACTGAGTCACTGTGACTAGCGTTGAGGTGTAATGACGAGGCCTACAGTCATCATCTGCTCTGGTGTCATATGAAGATAGTCTGACAGTCTGTTATGGATGACTTGTCAGTTAATTACCAAATGTAGTGGATGACCTCAGTGGCGTTGGTGATCAACAAGATGTGTCCTGTGCATGAGCCTTGTGCACCTGTGTAAACCTGCCATTACTGGAATTATAGGTTTACCTGTGCTGCTCATTGTGAGGTTGCACCACCCTCAATCTTGTGGTTGACAAATTGTGTGAGATTTGAGTCAGACGCATGCGTCCATGTCCATTTTCCTTGGTGGGTGCGTCTGTTTATTGTGGTTTACAAATATCTCAACCATTCATTCATCTAAAGCATGGTGTGAATCAACCCATCCCCCAGGGCAGCTGTTAGCCCCTGCTCTACACCCATTGACACACACTGTCACATCCTAGACAGTATCTCCCTTCCCCTGCTTCATGGCACCCAGGCTACGTTCTTCCAGCTGAGGTGACCGAATCCACCTGTCCTGCGCAGTAACCTCTCAGTATCTACTTATATCCATCCTGATTGAAATCTGCTTATTCTAGGGGTGTGATATGTTTTTTAAACTGATAACCAGTATTTGAAATGTTCCCACTCATGTTTCGCTGACACCAGTATTTATATGCATTTTTGCGAGACTCCTAATACAAATGCAGGTTAACCTTTTTTTCCTGTGTCTGTAGTAAGGCCATTAAAAGGATCATGGGACTGTAAAAGACTTTGACAGTTTGATTAATTTGCATTTGACAGTTATGTTACGTGACATACTCCTATAAAAAATTCAAATGCATATTTACAAGCTAATAGGACTAACTGTTATAACAGCATCAGAATGGAGCTGTCTTTTACAGCTCATATCAGCCAATATTGAAAGTAAGCTGATATATTAGTGTATCTGCAGGTTTTCTAAGAGCGGACTGCCCTCTAATGTGTTTTTCAGGTGTAGATCAGCCAGTATTTATTGTGTTTGACATGATAAAGAGTTACGCTGGTGGTTTTGGATAAATGAGCCTGTTAATTACAAAGGGCTTACACTTTATATTACAGGCTGACCATTTACCATTGTTATAGCATGGGTCATATTAGGGGGGGATGATATGATGATTTTATTCTTAATGTGAGTGTGTGTGTATAGGAATATTTTATATTTTTATATATTTTATATTATGTTTATATATATATATATATAGCTGTAGGTGATAGAAATGTGTCTGCTGTGATTTTACCAGATTGTTTGTCATAAATCAATGATCAGGACTGCTTTATGGCAATATTTGATATGTTGTTTTGCATCATTGTAATGATTAAGTACTTTGATATGCAGGTATTAGCCAGAAAAATTAATTTATCTCTCATTATTTTATACATTAATAATGTGTGTATTACATCACAATCTAAATATTGTATGCATGTTCCCTATGTCCCACCCTTTTTGTATTTTCATTGCATATTTTAGGTTCCAGTCAGTCGTGTACTTGAAATAATCTTGCCCAGTATCAAAACTTGCTTGTGGTGATGCATAACAGTTAAAAAAAAGTCTGCTTTAGTTTTGGTCAGTTAACACCTGGATAACGCGGGTGTGAACAGGAACTCCTTCTAAAGACTCGTGCTTGTTGTTATTGCAAAACATGCAAGACTAAATATTTAAATGTTTGCAGTAGTTTTAGGTTCATGTGTGTATTTGAACCAGCTAGCCCCATTGGTGACTGGATGCGAGAGGCATGTCATCACCTTATAGGCTACGTTTCCTCAGTCCAAAACGAGCCCTCCTCTGGACCAAGTGGAAATGCCTGTTCCTGCGTTGCTTGGATAAGAACACAGGCCTGCCAAATGGCCTCTTAAAAAACAACCCAGTTCTGCTAGCCCCCTGTGACCATGGGGACACAATGAGGACCATTCAGCTGGTGTGAGCCGCCGTGGCCAGGAGCTCTGCAGCCATTTAGGCCATTCAGCTGAACCCAGCCTTTGTGTGCACGTTGGAATGAGCTGCCTCCATAGGAAGAGAAGGGAGGGGCTGGTGACTGGTCATACTTGAGAAGATGACGTGTATTGTGTATTACCCCTCTCACCCTCTCAGCTGGGCCAGGGGTAAAAGGTCATGTCTGGTTCTTCCCTGTAACAAGCGTACCTGGTTGACAGCCCCCCCGGCCAACTGTCAAGCATGTTACATAGAAGTCTAATGTTGCTGGCTCAAGGAAAATTCCTCACCAATTAGTTTTTTGGTCTGTGAGTTAGTAGCTAGATTTCCAGGCCAAGGGGCCATTTTGAAATTAAAATACAAAATTGAATTTCCTCCCAGTCTGATTTTAAGTTTTTAAACTCGGGTTTCTTGTGCGTGCGGTGCACATGCTTGTGCCTGTGTTCATGTGGAGATACAGTCTTAGTCTCTGTTTGCATCTATGATCAGTATGGGTAGACAGGGGAGTCCCGATTACTGCCAGTTGCTTCCTTTCTAGGCCAATCATCCAGTTAGCCAGCCAGCCAGCCAGCATTCAGATGCAGCAGAAGCAGGCTTGGCTCGTTGTTGTATTAACAGAGAAGGCCCTCAGCAGAGGATGACAGCATTGATATGGACCTAGTCTCTATCAGCTATCCTTCCTCCTGACCCCAACCATCAGTGACAGCGTGTAGGGCAAAGCCTGATGAGGAGGTCTGTGAAAACATACCTCTTCTCTCTCTGTGTTTTTTTATGAATAGGATACACAGCAAACTTGTTTATGTAAATAGGCAGTCCAAGTACTTATTTTGAGAGAGATTACAGACATGTGATGGACACTTCCTCAAACTCAAGCTCATGAGTTCTTGTTTTTAAGGTGGAGGTCTGTGCCGGCACAGAAAGAGGAATAAGGTCCTCTCACACGATTGTAAAGCTAAAATCTCGACCCAAATTCAAATCACTTCACAGCTTTTGGCTCTTGCAGGCCTGATGCAACAAGCTTTTTTTAACAGCTCTACCAAATGTTAGAGCCACTTGTCCTGGAAATAGGAGTGGGCAATATGTTCTGATATTGTTATAATTATCACAGCATTATCTCTTCAATATGTTAACAATATTTAAATTTGTCTTTTTTTTGTTGAGATTATTAATGTTGGCATTCTGTGACTTTGTTGGACAACTGACAGTCTAGAGAGACAGGAAACAACGGGGGGTGATGATGACATGCAACACATGTCAAAGCGAACCTGAACATCGCAGTGACAGACCGCTCGACTAAGTCCCATGATGCCATTTACAGAGGTGGTCAAAATGACATGAATGTTTATCCTATTGAGTCAAATGGTTTTAAAGTGTTTTCCTATAACACAACGCTAGAATTAAAAAAACTGTATGTACTAGAAGTTTCACATTGGATACAGCACCAACTGTGAACTATAATACCTCATCATGAGGGTTTGTAGTAATATGATTATAAAGATGGATGATGCTCAATAACATTGATTTATTGCCCAGTCCTATTTCTCACTGCATTTGAACAAGCTTTGAACAGTCTAAAGAGTTTTCAAGTTATATATCTCTTTTTACATATTTGGGTAGTATTATAGGTCCTTTAGCTCCCGATATGTCAGAATCCAAAAGCACAAATTATCTCCCTTGTATCTTCAGAGCCAGTGCCTTAGGTCCAAGCAGATGGTTGGGCACTCTTGGCAAAGGTCTTTTTTTGTGTGTTTGTGGTGTATACAGTGTGTTTGCACATGCAAATGTGTGTGTGCATGTGTCATAATACTGTTATGCTGTGAATAGTTAATGATGGCTGCAGTCTCTTTCCTCCTCCAGACCTGTTGTAAGCTGAATTATTCACATGCTCTCATTAAATACTAGGACACCCTCATAGAGTGGTGTGGATGTAGGTGTGTGTGTTTGGTTAGCGAGCGTGACTTCTTTATGGTCCCCAGGTAGAAGTTGAGGCATGCATCGTATTAAAAAAACAAAAAGCCAACCTGACTCCTCTGAATCAGTGCCAGGAGATATTCTGACATCCCACTCACCAGCCCTCCAGACCTGAACATCTCTGGTGTGTGAAACTCACTTTGTGCAGTGAAAGATGCTTAACTTGTTGAACAGGCTGACATGTGATGTCAGGTAGGTCCAGGCAGTATGACAGAAATCAACTAACTGAACTACTTTTTGCCAATACCAAGTACATTACGGTATCCACCAGCCAAATGGCTTGTGTATGTTTAAGTTGTACCAGCCACTCAACATATTACCATCATATTTTTGGCCATTTTCATATTTTACTAGCATTTGGCGGGTGGCTGGTGCTAACTTTGCACCCTGATGGTAA